ATATATATATATATATATATATCTGTATATCTGTTCCTCTCAGCTTTTCTAAGTCATATCATTTGCCTATGGAGACATTTGGTTAGTTCTGGATGTAACTATTTTAACATTAGTTTATCTTCTGTATAATAACATGGTACAAAAACTGAATGGGTTGAAGTAATAAAATGTTAAATTGCTGAAGGATCTCAACTCGGTATGTGTACTAAGAGTAATTTCAGACTAAAGAGTCAGTCTTCTGCTGCTTTAGAGCATAGGTGAATATGCATAGTGAAGTGTGTGGAAACACACTTTTGTAGTAGCAGCATTATCCATGTCTGAAACAAAACTGACTTTCTGAATATGAGCTGTCAAGGTGAGCTTTGTAATAAATATCAAACGACTTGAAGAAAAACTTAAGTTTAACCCAGTGTGGATTAAGTTTTGGCAACAGTGGCCCACCTGAGAAACAGCTGGCACCTATGAATTTGTGTGCACTGGGGAGTTGTAATCGGTGGAGGAAGATGAGTGAGGAAATAGATAACTGTGTTGGTCTTGGTGTTTGTCCAGACCCAAAGGTTTTATCTGAGACTTATTTTAAAATATTAATGCTTGGAAGTTTACCTCAGTAGATTCCAAAAATGGAAATGAAGTGAGAGCATATCTATGTTGAGCATGTGCACTTAAAGTCTTGGTAAAACTTCAGTTAAAAGTGATGTGGAGAAAGTCTCCTTGCTTTTTTCTGTGTTAACTTCTGTAGTTGATAATAGATTAGTTCTTAATAACCAACACATATCCCTTAAGGAATGCCAATTCTTCATTCTTCAGTCTAAGATCTTTGGCAGTGTCAAGTGTGTTATTCATAAGATTAAATAGCTTGTGACCATTTCAGTGGACAGTCAATGAAGTCAAGTTTTGGAATACAAATTGTATATTCCTTCTTTCCTTCTCCTTAGAGTTGCTTAAAGTTCCTAAAGATAAAAAGAAAAGGGAAAAGATTCCAGTGGACTCTACTTGCGAATATCTGGATAGTAGAAATACTTCAGCAAAAGAAACTTCTCTCACTCAGTTGCCAATAAAGGAAGAAACAAAGATGAGTTTAAAAACTTTGGAACAAAGTGATGCCTCTCCAAAAAAACCTGCCCTTGAAGCACCACCAAAAAATTTGGCCTTTGAAGCAGTGGACAGAGTAATAGAAGCTGAAAAAGAAAGAAAGAGAATTAAAATCAAAGATGAGTATCATGACACCTGCACTTCACAGGACAGAAATGGCAATAATTCTTTGACTTCAGCTGCTCCCAGGTCAGTGCCAGCTTCTGTGTGTGCTCAAGGCAATCAGCCAAGACCTGCATCTCTCCTCTTTCGCTGCATGAACTATGCTATCCAAATCTTTATCTATTTCCTAAGTATTGCATGCAGTTTAATTCCTCGGCTCCAGCTGCCTACATTCAACCTCTCAAAACTTCTTAGAAAGATTAAAATCATGAGTAATGAAAAGGACTCTTAAAAGTGTAGTAGCATATTTGAGATAATAATGTTCTTATTGCTTTATAATGTTCAAGATATGCGAGTAGCATGATAGTACTGTGTGCAACCAAGAAAAACAGTGAACTGTTGCCTTGGCGCGTTCAAAACTGCCACACAACTGGGTTGCGTATCCAATTAATGTGAATAGTTATCATGATGAAAATTCATACCTGATACTAGCTTTCAAATTCTAGCTTCAAATGTAAAGATAATATAAATGTAAGTACTTCTTAATCAAAACTGGGTTAACAAAATTTTCATTTCATAAGATGACATATTTAATTATGCTATTAATTCATCTGTGTTGACAGGCAATTGCCTTTTATAATCTGTACACAGGACAGTGTTTCCAACTTAACTATTAAACCAAGATCAAGCTTTTCCCCTGAACTGGCAGCTTATTGATAATTTTTTGATAGGTATTAAAATAACTTATCACAGTTATTAGCTTCAACTTTTTGTTTTGTCTTGGTAAAAGGAATGCTTTTTTTTTTTTTTTCTCCTTCTGCTAATGCGGTTGTTTTTTCTTTGTAATCTAAGACATGTATGTTTTATTGGATATTAAAAAAAATAATCTGGACTGGTGTTAGATGGTTTGAGCTTACAGCTTGCTGGTGTCTGCTACTAAAAACAAGAACTTACTCTTCCTTTCTTCTTCTAGCTTTCTTTTACATTTAAGATGCAAGTCTGCACACATCTGATATAAGCATGTAACTGTTATAAAAATCATTCTTTTTTCTAATCCTTCAGGGAGTTAGCAAAATGGTTAGCAAATGCACAGTGAAGTTTTCCTTAAACTTTCCTTAAACTTCCTTAAACTTTCTTTCATTGTCTCTCCCACATTTGCCTCCTTCTTAGATTCTTCTGTCTTAGCTGTAACACCGAGCTGGAGAGCAGAGCCGAGAATAGTTCAGGAAGTTGGAGTGCCTTAAAGCCTAAGCAGCTGTGGTCCAGAAAGCTATGTTTTTGTCCGTCTTATAATTAAACTTCCTTCAGGAAGTTGGAGTGCCTTAAAGCCTAAACAGCTGTGGTCCAGAAAGCTGTGTTTTTGTCCATCTTAAAATTAAACTTCCTTTTCTTCTCCTTCAGAGTGTTTTAACTGTTGTTTACAGGGAGGTTACTTGGTGTTCACAATATTAGTAGCTATATACATGGAAATCTATGCAGTACATGCAAAACTAAGTGTTCAGAAGTAACTGGATCGGTACCTTGACTTTTGGATCAGATGTTTAAGGTTTTGTTGGATGCAGTTAACAGACTTAAGGCAACTGAACAAGTACCATTTTCTGAAATGGTTTGAAAAGGATGGTGTGGAAAAAGCAGCTTACATAGCAATGTCAGAGGATGCAGAGGGTGTTCTTGAGAAGGAAAGCGCTGGGAGATCAAAAATGTGTGGTGCAAGTTGATAGGAGAGCCTGAATAGCAGAGTGGTGATGGTGAGTTCTGATCATGTTCTGTACACATGAAGAAGCAAATAGCGTCTAAGCAAGGTGTGAAAAATGCAATCTTACTTTGTCATATCCTCTCTGGAAGGGAAGGTACAAAGCCTCCCAAGAGGGGGTTGCTGGAAATGACTTATGAACTGAAGAAGCAAACTATCAGAGAGGAGACAGAACAGCAAGGTATTTTATGGAGCTGATCCTTGGAGGCAATAAGAACATGAAGTAACAGTGAGAATCCCAATTATGCACATGTATTTCTTCAGGATGTTGTTGGAAATGGCAATAAGAACCTATAAACAGCAAATTTGGAGAGTAGCTTCTGTTCGTATATCTGATTGCATAACTGAAGAACCGAATAACCAGTTAGCGATGGCGCTAAGTTAGTGCTGAGAACTTCCTTTAGTGTTAATGCTTTCTGATTTTGTATGAGATGGAAAGTCATGATGAAATTGAGTATTTGGGAGGTTGGCTTGTTAAAAGACTAAAAGAAACTGAGGACTTTCCTTTAGATATGGTAAACTCTATGTATGAGTTATAGCTTAATGCGAAGGTCCAAAAATTACAGGCAGGAGGATTGTGCACTTAAAAATGGAATTGCTCTGCAGAGAAGAAATCACTGGTATTTTCATGATTGGTAGTTGTGCAAGTCTTGACTTTTTCAAACTGCAGTGCGACACTGCAGCTGAAGAGGCTGGTGTGGTCACTGGAGATTATTTTTGGCGCTTCAGTGGTTTACTTGTGCAATGATTTGTCTAGTTCTGTTATTGCTAGCCTGCGAAAGGTGGCAGTGAACTGAAGAGCTATAGTAACTGTGAACAGAAACTTCTTTTTAATCGAAGGGCCTTGAGAAGCTTTGTATTTATTAAAGAGGTGATTGGGGAAAAATGGCTAGAGGTGATCAGTATGTTACTGATCAATATATTACCACTTAAATAGGTGGTAATTTTAATTGCTTGATGAAGAGTCTAACTTGTGTGCATCCACAAATTGTTAGTCGTATGTGCAGTGGTTATGTGTACATTTGCAAATGTCGAAAGTAAAAATGCTTGTAAAACATGAAGTTATGGTGAATTTGTGATCATTGAAAGCATAATTTAGACTGACTAAAGTGTTGGTGTTTTTTTTTTTTTTTTTTTTTTTTTTAAGTTCCATAAACATTTCTTTCAGTGAAAGAGCTGAAATAGCTTTGATTCTGTCCATTGATATCTTGAAAGATGTTTAAGTTATGCGGCAGAAATACTAAGTATTTTACTACGAAGTAGATAACGTGTTAGAGTTTAACTGAGGCATGCAAGGGTGACTGCAGAAGTAGTAGATATTGGTCATATTAAATGGTTTTTCACACTTAGTATAAGTGTGACTTAGTATAACAGGGCTGAGGGTTTCTGTAGTAGGTAGTGGTGCATTGACAAGCTGTACCGTTTTTCTGGACCTCTAAGGTACTTGCTACTATTACCTCCAACGTGAAGGATTTCAAAGAAGTTCCCTTCCCAACTCTGTCAGTCTAGGCAGTCCTGGGTTGTGCACTTGTAACCACGCTATGCCCTGCACTGGCTTCCTGGTGAACCAAATGGAGGAAGTGACATTCTGTGGTTTTCCAAAATTTAAATTATGTTTCTTGGGTCAGAAACCTTTCTATAAAGAAATAGCAAAATGCCCAGCTGGTTTGTCAGGACTGTAGGTATTTACTGTTCCAGGCTCTGACTAGAGAGCTCAAAGATGAAATTATGTAAGAAGTTACTACTGAAAGGCTGTTGTTGGGGGAGTGGGGGCAAGGGGAGAAAAATGAAGGGTGGGGAGAGGTGGCCATCTTTAAACTTGACAAGACTTTGTTTAAGTCAAGCTGTTCACTTACAGAGCCTGTTTAAGTGAGTTCTCTGTAACTTGTCCTTCTTACTGTTATATGTTGCAGCATGCAGACATTATCTTTTACAGACTAAAGCAGGTATTTTTCCACAAGTTGGATTCATCATGGAAACGTAAGGATGATTCAACTTGTAGGCTGTAGAACAGCCAGTGCTGAAGCATTTGTAGCCCAACTGAAAGATTCTAAGGATAAGTCTGGTGTTCATTTGCTTGGATAGTGGGCCTAAACTTTTCTCTGCTACTGTAAAGCTCAGATCCTATTTGAATTCTGAGGCATTTCTCAATATCTCAGTACATATTACTTAGTCAAGGTTGTCATAGGTGGGAAAAAAATTGTGCTGATCTATTGTTGGACCAGCTAATAGATGGAAACCACCTACGGGATGAGGAGGAGGGGAACTTGCCAACACGAAATGGCTCATTCATTGCATTTCCACCAGTCAAGATCTGTCCTCTGATAACTTCTTTTAGGTATTTATTAACATAGCTCTGTTCTGAGGAAATTACATTATTGGATGTTGACTTATATGCACATTTTGTGCATCAGTCTAAAGAGATTTTTCAATTATTTTACAATTTTATTTCCTATGGAAATTTTAATACCTGTTCCCTCTAATTTTATGAAAATATAGTGGTGTAGATGAGAATTTTTTTTTCTGGAGGTATCACATTTTACAGAAATAAGTAATTGTGTTAAGCCAGAAAGTGTTTTTTATAAACCTAGTGATGCTGTTTGAGAACTTGTTTCAAGTTGACTAGATTTTGTTTGGCCTTTTGATTTATGATCATGGTTTTCTTTTTTCTGTTTTATAAATTTGTAGGGCCTTTTTGCTGGGAATCTTGACTACTAACCTAATGCAGGGGGGTGAGGAGAAGACCTTTTTTAAGGTACAAGAAAGGCAGAATAAATGAAGAGAATCTAACATGGAAATGGATGCTTAGGCACAGTCTATCTATTCCTAATTAAAGCTGTAGTGGAAGCTGTAGAATTAAAGCTAATGAAAATATTACTAAGAATAGGTTTTTTCATTTTTTCCCCCCTTCTTTCCTAAATTGGTAGAGAGTTATGTCATGATGTAACTGACTACTAGATGTATGCTAAAAATGAGGTGCTAGCTAATGAAAGGGTATAAGACTTGTCATAGATATGAGTGATAGAACCAGCATTGCTGCCTTGGAGGGAATGCTCAGTTCTTCCATCTACTGAGGTAGTGCTTACAGGCAAGTGTATGGAGAAGGTCTGCAGCTATCTTAAAAAGGGCTAGGAAGGCTATATTTAGTATATTTCTGTAAAAAGATAGATTTAGAGGTGAAAATTCAAAAACTGGGTTTTAGCTCCTTTTACAGTATTCATCTGCTATATGTCTGTATTAAAGAAAGCTCTAAGAACTGCAGCAGCTGATCTCATTTGGAAAAGGGCTATTGAAAGCAACTCTAGATGGTTGTAGGTTAGTCTATAATCAGTAGAACTTCTTGAGACCACTAGAAGCACACACAGTTATGAGGAAATTGCTTTAAAAGATAAGTGGCAGTGAATCAGCATTTAATTTGAGTTGCTGTGTTAAGAGATGCTTAAGTAGTTCATTTGCCATAATCTATTTTGCTGTTGAAACAATTATGTGTAATTGTTTAACTGGCTTTGTTGAGTAAATATCCCTAGTTAGCAGCTTCTCTTAATGAAGCATCTGAAGAATTTTTAAATAACTTACACATCCAGTTGAACTCAGATGTCTACTTTTTTAATTTACCTCTTGAAAAGTATTATAGTAGATAGCTTAAGCTCAAATAGAGTTAAAAGTGTCATTGGAAGAATGATGCAACTTAAAAAGCCTGAGGAAGTGGGAAGAAACTTAATGTTTTTAAATTATCAGGGCTCAATATAAGGGTAGCAGTAGCCCAGAACCTGGTTGGAGATTAGTGTGTTCCTTTTTACATTTCTTTTTCTATTATTAATGCAGAATATTCAATCTATCTCTTCTGATTTATGTTGTCATGACTTGACCTAGAGTTGTGCTTTCATGTGACTTTCCCCCTTCTATGTGTGTGGCTCCATCAGTGTTTCTTCTTTTTAAAGGCTGGTCACAACTGGTTATCACTGCAGCAGATAACACTTGAAAAAATGCATGTACCATTGAAGTGATCAAGTGTGAGGAGAAAGATATAAATGCTTTTTTCTTGCATTTTCTTAATCTACTTGCTCTATCTTCATGTATGCCTGAACTGGGCACTCTGACTTGTTGATTTTGCTTAAAGCTTTGTTTTAACCCTGTTTTTTATTAACTAAATATGTGTTTAGAATGGTTGCTTTGCCTATAGGTTAACAGCTGAATCTCAACTTGAAATTACAGAAAACCAAGAGAAGAAGGAAAATATGATCATGATGAGAAGAAAACACAAAAGAAAAAATATACTACGTTATATGTATCTTCTAAGCCAACTCCTGAAACACAATGTGCTCAGCAATAACACTTGTGCTTCTAGAAGACACTGTAGTAATTTGGAGTTTTACTTCAACAGCAATTAATGAGTCAACTTATATTGCACAAATATATGAAGGTTATTAACTTAGATGTCTCTGCCTTCTTTATGAAGAAGAGTATGTACTGTGTTATTTAGTGTCTTACCTTCAGAAGTTGCCTGTTAGATTTCCTGACAGTGTGACCTGAAGTACTCTCTTAGCTTCTGTTTTGGATCAAACTAAACATGTGCCTGGCATGGTTTCTATGACACTTACTAATATTAAGAATGGTAAGAACTTGCAGGGGGATTTCTGTTACGTAGTAACACAGGGGTCGGTTTGGAGGAGTTCACTAGGCACAAGACAACCAAGTTATGTGTAAGTACTCCTGAATTTCTTATAGATCTGAAATTCAGGCTTATTAACTTTTCCTCTAATGTCAAATTGTTTAACTCTGACCTGATTGTAAAGGTTTATGTGAATTTTTAAAGGAATCTTGTGATATACTACTTTTTTGAAACCCTAAATCTTTCTATTTATACTGATAATAAAAATAAAGTTTTTTTTTCTCTTTCTGAAATGCTAGTCAAGAAAAGATTTGCTACAAAGTGTTTTTCCTAATGTGTCCTTTTTTGAGTGATAGGAGCTTTGTAGTAAGATTTTTGTGTAAGTAGCATTCAATAAAAGTTAAATAGTTTGGAATGTACATGTGTATTATTTCTAGGAACATTATGTAATTTTTGTGATGATATTTGCTTACTAGTGTTCATTCACTTTTAGCTAGTTTATCTGAAGTGCAGAGTTTCTCTGTTAACTTCAGGTTATTGACTTTGCTTGTTTTTACACTGTATTTAGTTGAGCTCCCTCTAGAGAATGGCTCAGCCATCTCCCAAACAGAAGATAAAGCAGTCAAAATGATAGAAACTCTTCTCTTTTAAATCTGTTATTGACAAGATCTCTTAAGAGCAATCTTATTTGCCCTCTAGGAATTTTAGATTTAAAAACTTTACCAGCTGCATGTAAGCTACAGTCAGTAATTCTGAACTCTAAACTTGTTTAGATACAGAAAGCATAATACAGTTTTATTTTCATATACAGCTAGTTAAGACCAGGACATAGGGGGAAGTAATAGGGTGAGGATATTATATAAGGGAGTTCCTAGTATATTCAAGTTTTGCTCAAATCATTGTTTTATTTGCTAGTCTGTAGTATGGCAGTGATGGTGATGGAAAGGCCCTCACTTCTAAGCTCTGTAAAGATGTATCTTGCAAGTGTGATGCTTAGGTTAGCTCATACTCAGTCAAAATATTTTTGAGTGCCTAAATAGATAAATAAATGTGCCTTTATGGATTCTGTTGAGCATACTTGTTGAAAGACAGCTGCAGGTATGGTTAGACATGCCGTGGCTGGTAAATGTGACACAGATCTTGAGTAGAGGTGATGCCCCATTTTGTTACCTAGGATGCTGCCAGTTGGCAATCACAGGTTGATTTCCCTTTCACATGAAGGTTATATTCAAGAAACAATTAGCTATGATAACGGGAGCAACAGAAGTGAAGACTCAAGATGTGTAAGTAATGATAATGAGCAGATATGCCTTGTTGTTTTCTAACACAGAACTGACTTCATCTGGGCAGGGTCTTTCTACATGGTTAAGTTTATTCACAAGCTTTGTGCTGTTATTACTTAATAAAATATCATCAATGTATCGTGCAATTAAATTCCGTGCTCTGAAGTAGATTTTCACAACTTAGGGATAAAATATCTATCCAAATCCTTCAGTTGGTTTATTAACCATGGTCTTATGGACATGGTCTTATTTAGACTTAAGGTTTTGTTCACATATTTCATGCTCTTACAAGAAGCTGACATATAACTCTAAAACAGTTGTTCTACGTGAGTCACATCATGTGTCCTTATGTAACATCCACCTGAAGAAATATGTTAGTAGAAGTCTTCCTTTTGCAGGTGGCTGCAGTTGGTCACTCTCCTGCCAGCTCTTTGTACCTGTTGATCAGATCCCCTCTCAGTCTTCTCTGCAGGCTCAACAGGCCCAGCTCCCTTTGACTTTCCTCATACAATAGCTGTTGGAGTTGCTTAATCATGTTCACTGCTTTATGCTGGACCCTCTCTAGTATTAACTTTTTAAAATTATGAAATCACTTTGGCATTTTCTTTTTTTACCCATATCATGTCACAGCAGTTGCTTTACTACAACTGTGCTCTGGTCTTAGACTATTAAAGATTTTAGAGCAAGTCAGATGCAGAAGTTGATTTCTGTTTAACCTGTCTCTGTATATAACAAAAAATTATAGCTTAAAAACAAGTAGTATAGAACTAGCTTTCTCCAAGATCCTGTGTTCTAGAATTTAGATTGGTATTAAAGAAACTAAGAATTATCTCCCTTTTTTTCCCTTGACTTAGTGTGTTTTCAGTTCAGTTTGTTCTTAATCCAATCTAGTCCTTAAACCAGGAATGCTTTGGCTATCTCTTTGTGCACCCAAAATTTCCTTATTGAAGTTGTACAGTCATCTGCGTGGATGTGAAGGCTCTAGATATGTAAAAGCGATTCCTGAAGCTCTGCTTTGTCAATGTTTTTTTTTTTTTTTTTTAACAAAGTGCTTCTTTGTTGAGAGAAAAACAGGAAAAAATCTAAGTATTCCTCCAAACTTGAACTGAGTGGAATAGCATTTCATACCACACCTATTCCTTCATCTGGCTTTGTCCTCCTTTCATTTGTTGTACAAGCGCAAGTACGTTACGAAAAAGAAATCTGTTTTAGGACAGGTTAAAATAATTATTCAGATAGTAGCGTCTTGTAAAGCAGATTGTAAAAATCTGCCTTTTTTTTTTTTTTTTTTTAATTTAGTTCAGGAGATGAAGGCCCCTCTCTACATTTCCAAAGGAACTAAATGTTGGATGTCGAGAGCGTTGGCTTGTGGAGCCTCGCAGCTGAGTTCCAGGCTCGTTCATGGGTTGGTGGGGACGAGGGGAGGCGTCTGCTCCTTGTGCCTGTTCAGATGTTGCTGCCTGTCTTGTGTAACCGAAAGGCCCGGGCTGGGTTTCCCCTCCCCCCGAAGGCATGACGCTTGGTACGAGTCGAGAAAAGAGGAAGGAAGCTCAGCCCTCGGCAGCAAATCTCACAATCTTAGCAGCTGCCTCAGCTGCCTCCGTGTCCTCCCAGTCCTCGCCGGGAAACAGATCTTGCTTCCAGCACCTTTGTGGATCATCTTGGCATTGGCATCCTAGAAATCTTGGCTTCCTCTTGGTGGACGTCCCTGGAACCTCACAAACTTATGTATGATGGCAAGATGGCACAGGACAGACAAGAAGAGTGGTGTGGGTAGGTAACTTAGTAAACTGCCATTTGAGTTTTGGCCTTTCAACTTGCGAACAGGATGTGGGCAGGTGTCTTCTCTAGGGTGATGAGTTAACACCCGCTGCTTTACCATCTCAGGCTTAATTGAAAGATTTTTTAATAATTGCTGATCCTCTCAAACAAAAATGTAAAAAATGAATGTCAGTTGGGAGATGAGTGCCTCCCTCTCCACAGATACCTCCCGAACCTTGAGTTTTTTATGGAATATTGCATTTCTGTTCTCACACTAACGCAGCATTTCTCACTTCAGTATTTCAGCAACGTATTAAGTAAAATATTTTTATGATGAGTAGCAGCTAAAAACTAGGCTGAAGAAATGTAGGGGAAGGGGAAACCTACTGCTACTTCTGAGAGATGATGAGCAGGTTCACTTGAGCCGACGTTACAGCAAGACCTGAATATGAGTCAAACTAAGACCCTTGTAAACTCTGGAAAGGCTCTCTTCTTCCTATGCTTTTTCTTTCTTGGCATGTGCTCATAAAACTGAAACGCTGTTAAAGCTAGCTGCAGTTCCTCTGGGCAGTAGTTGGTGCTGGGTAGGTTTTCTGTTTTGCTTTCCCCCTCCTAGTGCATAATCATTTACCTGAGATCCCCCAATTCTTCTAGAAGCCACTTTTGATTTAAAATAATCATAACTTGCGGTATCAATTCACTAAGGAATTAATAAAAGGAAAAGTAAGTCTTCCTGTTTGGCTTCCATGTGCAGAAGTGGTAGAGTTGTGAAATGGAAGTATCCTGTTCTGGTGGTAGTTTACATTACAAAATGAAGGATCTGAAGAAGCCTTTTGCTCATTTGTTTCAGTTTTGCAAAGAGAAAGGAGAAACAAGTAACTTGATTTAGTTTTGCACTTCTTTTCCTGAAAGCTACTATTTGGCAGAATGCAGCAGGATTTGTGCTGGATCCTGTCTGTATGCATATGACAGTTTATGGATCATAGTTCACATGTGGGCAGAAGAGCTAATCAGTTTCCAGATGAGTAAGAAAGAAGCTTTACATTTGCAGGCTTTTTTTTTTTTTATAGGGATTTGATTGATCAGGAGAAAAGGTACAATTGTTTGCAAAGGTAAAGTTGCAATATAAAGCTTGTTTTACAAGTAAAATGGAGCAGGTTATTCAATACAAGCTTTTTGAACTCTCAATAGCTATTATATTTATATAATTCCAGGTAAGGCTCTTGTTGGGATAAACTGAAGTTAGGAGCTAGTTCAGCAGAGCAGTGCCTCAGAAAGACTTTGAAATCCCATTATAAGTGGAAAAGGGGAATGTAGCCAGGGAAGTCAACTGGTAAGAAGGCTTTTGCTTCCTTATCCTTTGAAGGAAAGGATTCTGTTACTAAACGTCTTGAGGCTCCTACAGGGTTTTGTGTGTGATCCCCAGTGAGGCCCAAAGCACAATTTCTATTTTGTTCTCTTGTGCCATGAGGGCGCATAATCTAAATTTGATAAAATGTTAACTACTTCTCTGTCTTAGTCTACAGTTCTTCAAATTCTTATTTTTAATAGGAATCTACTCTAAACAAAGAGTGACTACTTGCTTTACCCTGTGTTTCAGATGGCCAGTGTAAATTCCTTTACGTGATTTTCATGATTATTTTCCTTTAGAAAACACGTGCATGCTCAGTGATTTAAATAAAGATGCTTCATAGTCATACATATATAATGCATCTACATGGTTTAAAAAAAAAATTAGTGAGGGGAGTGTGCATTCATTGCACACTCTTGTCACATATGTGGAAAAACCTGATAACCTATATACGTCTAGTTAAATGGGAATACAAGAGTCCAGGTCAGTCTCCATACTGATTTTTACTGCTGGGATGGACTTCGTGAGCTGTCTTGAGCTCTGGGCCGAATGTTGCTGAATGAGAAAGGCTTCGTTCATGAGTGCTTTGCAGTCGGATGTCATTTCCCTATTCCCTAGGTAGAATTCCAAGCCCACTGGTGCCAGTGCAGAGTTCAGTTTGCCACATCTTTCATGTGACCTATTTGGTCTCATATCATTTAAGTTTGCTTTGTGAAACAGTATTGTTATGGTTGGCTTTTAGTTGATGACCTCCCGAGGCAGATAAAACAAACACCTGTTTTTTAAGGGTTTTCTGGTATTGCACTGTGGTGGGGGGGATGTCTGTGGCAGAGGCTCTTTCTTCCCCTTCCTTTGCCCTTCCTTCCCCAGCTATAACATTGAAGACAGTGATTTTGGAACACAGTCTAGACATTCTGGAAACCTGGCCTTTTCTTTTCCAGTGGCCCCTCAGCTTAGTAATAGCTACCTGGGATTTAGAAGAAGGGGGATAAAAGGGGCAGAAGTGTGGAATGCCACTGTGACTGATCAAGTCTGCAGCAACCCTCACGACGCAGGAAGGCTGCAGTCCGAGGGAAGTGGTGTTGGCTGGAGCTGATACAATCCTTCATGCACAGCTCAGTTCAGAAATGACCTGGTGTGGTAGTTGAGCACTGTAAGTCTGGTGCTGTACGTGATGCATCTGGCGATAGCTGCTTGTATCAAGTTGCTGAGTGGTCTATGGAATTCTTTCAACTACATATTGGAGATAATTTCTTATCATAAAATGTCTAGATATACTTACCTTTTAAAGCTTTACATACAATCCTTATTGTATTAAACTCATCCTACCAAACAATCCAAATGTTACCATCAAATCTGTTCATCAGTAAGTTTCCACTTACTCATTTAGGAAAGTTTTAGTTGATGAAGCCACTTCCTTTGTCAGTTATTTGGCTTTTCAACATAATAAGTAAAGTTAAAAGAAGTTATTGCCAGAGGGTGAAAACAATATGCAGTGTGAATAATATGACTCAGTCATCTGCATCTGTGTTTGGGCACAACTGCAACAGTAAGCAGTGCTGCATTTTTTAAAATACGAAGGAAAAACTAACATTGTTTATGGCCTATTTAAGAAATTGAAGAGGGTGAACTGATTTATGTCTATTTCTACATTAGGCTCTCTTTTGAAGGGTAATTTCACTTGATTTTAAACCTCATTTTTAAGTAAAATGTTTAAGTAAAAGGTGCCAGTAGGTATGTATTTTGACATAGTGGAAATGAAGATTCTGTCTTAGAAGCCTGGAGGGGAGACAAAAACACAAGAAAGGCAGGAATAGGTTTTCCACATCAGACTTCCTCTAATTCAAAATATTGCAGTTTTAAGTGCTCTGTGTGTGTGTAAATAGTGTGGATGGATTGGAAAATGGTCATGAGAGAAAGAAAACCCTGTCAACTTATCCCAGTGCTGCACAGCAGAGGTCATGGATGTTAGGATATAGTTTTTCCTTGTGCAGTTTAACTATGATTTCAGGCTTGCACATTTTAAATCATTCCCCTATTTCCCTTAGAGATGCTAGCTTCAATAACCTCTTCTACCCTGAGGCATTTTTGATAACTCTATAGGCAAACCCATGAAGAAAAGCATATACAGAAGCAAATGCTTACCTAGCAGCCCACATCCTGTAGCCCTAGAATGTAAGAAATAATAATGCTTTTTTTCTGAAACTTTTTTTTTTTTTTAACACATACTGATAAGATGGTGGTTAAAAGAACTTTCAGATCTGCTGCCTCTGGGTCCCTTTTTCACAGCAATTAAGCATGCAAAATGATGAAACATTTACTGTTCCTACATGAAACATAATTTACATTAAGATGAAACATCCTAACCCAGGAATGATTTCGGTAAATTCAGTTTTCGTGTGTTCATCTGTTGTCCCCGGAGCCTGGGCATAAATTTATATAAATTGTGTACTTGTTAGCTTACCGGTCTAGGACTTAAAGTTTCCAGCGTGCACGTGCACATATTAAAGCCCTAATTTATATAAATTGTGTACTTGTTAGCCTACCGGTCTAGGACTTGAAGTTTCCAGCGCGCACGTGCACATATTAAAGCCCTATACCTAAATAGGTGATCTAAAACCTGTGCAAAACACTTGCTATAAATCACCTCTTCTCAAGCATATGCTTTTTTTCTAGTGCTGGCCATTTCTGACACCTTAGCATTTTTACCAGGGAAAAGATGAAATAATGGTAACAGAAGAAGGTTGTTGATAAAATTATAGTTTCCTTTTCTTGTTTTATTGTACGCTATTTATCCTAGTACCAGACTATTAATAAATATATTTTTCAATAAAATTGTAGTGTATGATAGTACTGAAAACTAATATTTTTGTCCTTTAATTTTTTAGCAATATACAATTTCAAAGGTACAGGGATATCACAGTTACCTCTCCAGATTGGTGATGTGGTCCATATCTTGGAGGCCTGTGAAGGTAAGTCTGTTGCCTTCGGGCTATAAATTTCTCTGGTTATATAATTTAATTCTGTCACTTTATACTGGTTACTCCTTTTACATAAGCAGCTTACTAAAGGTGGTATTTGTATTGGTCACGGTAGTCTATTTTGAGGAAGAACCTCCTTTTACATAAGCAGCTTACTAAAGGTATTATTTGTATTGGTCATGGTAGTCTATTTTGAGTAATTTTTGGAGAGCCAAAATCAGAAGCCTACATGTGGTTTCCCTGGGAAGCAATTATCAAATGAGGAAGTCATCAATGTGAATAAAGAGTTGTGAAGTTCATACCAGTTTGTGTTGTGCATGGTGGAAGATCTAATGGAGTACATATGTGCCTCTAAATTGAATATTTGTTGGGAAATTCAACAGTCTTCTAGTAGTACAAGGTGGGATTCTAGTATTTTTCAAGTAGTAGATAAATCAGCATGATTAGACACTCCTGAAAACCATCTAAGTTAGCAGAATGGCTAAACAGCAGTTGTCCTAGCTAAGCTGGGCATAACTGGTATTCGTTAGGCTGATTCCAACATATGGAGTAGCTACATGGAGGTATCTGACCAAATGGCAGAACTGTAAAACAAATAGAAACTGAAAAAAGTTAGAGAACATAAAGGGAAAAGTTAGTACATTCGTGAAGCCGAAATTGCTGTCTGTCCTACAGTGGTAGTGTATTTCTCCTTACTGCTTTGAGTACCTTCACAATCTTACTGAATTCTCCTCTAGCCATCCAGAGCTACTGAAGATTTTGGTTTCTTGAAAAGCAATGAGAGACCAGTTATTCTTACTAATTCAATAGTGAGAGTCTCTTCAGTAGTTATTGTAATAGTAATTTTTTTACAATCTGAAATGACGATCTTCTTGGATAAGAGACTAAAGATTTCTGCGTTCTTTCAAGCTTTGCAAAATGAATTAAAAATTACCTTCTTTATCTTACTTCTACTCTGACCAAGTTGTATTTTGGTAACCCCACATCCTAAAGGGAACGGGCTGCTGCTGCAGTGGTAGAGACAGCTCAGTATAGCAGGGCACCCTTAACACGTTGTGGTCATACAATTGCAGAGCATGTGGGAAGCTGTCTGAAGCCATTCCCGCATGTAGAGCTGTAAGTTGTTTTGGTCAGAAACAAGGAAAACTTGGGTGTTGGAGAAAATACCTTCTACAAAATTATATTCCTTATGTTTTGTAATGCAGAACCTTTTTTTTCTATTTGTAAAGGAAATCCAGTAGCTTTACACATAAATGAAAAATGGGTAGCAGTCAGTAGACGACTAGTCAACAGACAAATCCTCAAGCCATGAGTGAGGCAATGTGCCCCCTCTGAAAGCATAAGAGGGTTGGGTAATTCTTTCTGCCTTCAAAAGCCTTCTAAACACTCAGCTAAGAGAAAAAAGGACACTGGGAAATCAGAAAGCGCCTCATCTTTTATTACTATGTTGACCCTGTTTAATATCTGGAGGAGTGAGAGGTGTAACTGGTTTATGAAATGCTTTTGTTGGTGAAGAGGCATCTGATATTATACAGATGAAGAAGGTTCTCTTGTACCTCAGAGATAGACTGCCAGGTGCAGCTGATGTCTAAATATGAATAACAAAAGTGTGACCACATCTTAAGTCATTTTTGCTCATTTTGTGTGTACAAAGTAGGAAAGTAGAACATGTATAGTCACAGCAAATGAGGTGAAATATAACAGATTTTCCACAGTATGTCAATTGGAAATTACTGGCAAATAATTCAGTTTTAGAGAGGAGTTGGAACTTCACTTGCTGAACAGATACTGGTCAAAGTTGGTAGTTCTGAAAAAAAAGACAGAATATTTTCTGAGACCTTGCTTAAATTCAGCAATATCCCTGTGATTTTTTCAGCTTTTCCCCACAGCACTGTTTGATTTCTTGGCTTGCCCGGCTGAAATGTCTTTGTGTTAAAGATGTATGAGAGGAAAAAATAGTAACGAAGTTGTAGCCTGTTCATAAAAATACAGTCAGGAAGTGTGAGCTTTAGTCTTAAAAGCTCTTCTTTGGGATAAAATTGAAGTTGATACAGAACTGTTTATTGTTGCTTGGCAGGTCCTGTTTTATGATGATGGAATGTGTGAACAGTCATTTAAGTGCTTGATTAAGGTTGAATTCTTCATTTTATGTTCTTTAGGGAGGTTTGTTGTGGTTTAGCAGAGTTATAGCAATAAAAAACCTCATTCAGAGCTTCCTATTATTGTTGCTGCAAAACTGAATGTTATTTTGGGGTTGGTTTGTTTCCCTCTCCCCTTCTCTCCCCACCCATCCCCATTTCCTAATTGATGAATGGGGCAAAAAACCCCACAGCAAACTTTCATTTTTAAGGAATCTAACTTGAACTTTATGTTTGGAAGCTGCTTATTTGTCTCCAGAAGCTCTAGTTCCTCATGACAGAAAAGAGCAAGGCTATCTGTTCTTTGCAGCCCTCGAAAGAATGATCGTATGATCTGCTTATCAATGTATCAGCCATGCTAAGTATGCTTCCTGCCGCTTGCTTTGTGTTCATGTGGGTATTTTTCAAGTAACTCCAGGATTTTTAAGCATCCTATGACAGATATTTCTAGCTAAAACACAAAGCATGAGTTTAATATATGCTTTTATGTACATGTTCTGTTACACTGAGTGTGCTTTTTTTTTCCTTACTTTTAGATTGGTACAGGGGTTATCTAGTAAGACATAAAGGACTGGAGGTAAGATGACAGTGTTCATTTGTATAAGACTGTTTAAAGCACCAACACATGAAACAAAGTTATTTTCTTCTCAGTGTGTCTTATGAGACAGTCCTATTCTGATGACTTAAGTCAGCTAAATCCATCCGTCTTTTTCTTCCGGAGGAATAGAATGATCAACACTTGTTTTGAATGAAATGTTAGTTAATATTAGAAGTCAGGATAGGGAGAAGAAAATCAAAGAAGATACTGTGCCCTTAGGTGAACAGGCTAATGAAGATGGCACCTGAAATAACTTTCTGAGGTTAATTAACTGCAGAATGTGTATGCTTCTGCTTTGCTTGTGGTTTTGTCTTGTTTGTTTCCTAAGGGTTCATAGGGCTATATTCAATATAACCACCTCCCATGAAGCACAAGTCTGGAAATGCATCTTTAAGCTACAGTATAGTAGTGATCACAAAAGTCAATATTCTTATACCAAAAGGTGGAAAACCACAAATGGTAGTTTTTAACCTGGGTAGGATGACTCTAGAATTAGGGAATGAGTGAGTTTCTTATGTCTTAAGTGCATGCACCTTTCTAGAAGAAAAGTGTATTTTGGAACTTGATATTAGTATCAGACTTTGTTGAAACAGCAACACCAAGGGCATTGGAATCTGGAGACTTAAAGCTATATAACAGTGAAAACTTCTGGAGGAAGTGGCTTCTCTATCCTGGAGAAAGAATGTTAAACCTTCACAGCCACTGAAAAAGGAATATCTGGGGAGCAGAAAAGTTATTTGCAGGGAATGTATCACCAGAAAAATCAGAACAATCTGAAGACATCTATTCCTATTTTTCTTATTTTGTATTCAACAGCTTGTGAGTATTAGCAGTAACTTGCATGATCTTTGAGCAACTAACTTGTATTATATGCCTGTAGATGATAGTAAAATATTTCAGCTTCCTTTATTGAATTTTAAATGGTTGACTTATCATTTAACTGCTGAAGAGTTGCACATGCAAAAGACAGAGATGAGAACTACGCATAATGTTTTTATCCAGCCTTCTATCTAATGTTTCTTCTGTTTTGTGAGCTCTTATCATACCAAATAGCACTGCATTTGCTTGCTTGCTTGGCTAGATGCTCACAGAAGAGGTGAAAGCAGGTCTAGTGAGAAGGCGGCTGCTTCTCCTAGACCTGCTTCTCGATGTAGCACAGATTTCACAGGAAGCTGTGCAAGGTTGTTGCTGTATAGTTACTGTGACTGTGGCTCCTTCAGGGCCCAGTCCTAAGAGAAAGGATTTTTAGGGCAAAATGGTGTTAACTGTCATCTAACTGGGGAAAAAAGCTGGCATCAAGTTTCAGATGTGAGTGTCAGTTAATAATAGAGCTAAATCCAAGCAAACCTGTGTTCCGTTACCAAGTCTAGCTCTTCCAGCTAACGTAAGGTTGGTCATGGATGGATCAAGGACACATTCCTCTGTATACACTAAAATGCTTCTGCTTTTGTAGTGCCTGGACCCATCACAAAAATTAACTGTCTGGTCACCTTTTTTTATGCCCAGGTCAATTAGGAATAAATTCTGAAAATGGGATGAAATCTGATGTCACTTTTTGCTATATCTTGCTGTTTAGCCTTGAGCAGCACAAAATGTGCTCATACTCTCAACTGCAGTGGTGTCATATCTGCCTAAGGGTGCTTGGGAGTTTATGGTCATACTGTCTCCCTTTTATGCTTTGCAAATGAAAGGATTTTCTTTTCTCCTTAAAGCAATTTGGTAACAGTTTTAGGAGGGAGGGGGAAAAAAAAGAATAAAAGTAGAACTTGGAAAGCTTTCATTCATGTAATGGAATTTTCTTGGAGATATATAAGTAAGTGGATTCTCTTGTTTGTTTTTGCCTTTCCCAACAGGGAATATTTCCTAAATCTTTTATCCACATCAAGGAAGTTTCTGTGGAAAAGAAAAGGTATTGAATTTAAGTATTTCAATAAATTGAAGACCTAGTCTGCTAAAGAATCAAGTTTAAGTCATTTATGTGCCTTAAACACATTAACTACAATATAAAGCCATGAAACTGAAATCCTCTTGTATGTTATGTTTAACTTCTTTCCTAGACATGCAGAAAACATAATACCTGCTGAAATCCCTTTAGTGCAAGAAGTTACCACTACCCTCTGGGAATGGGGCAGCATCTGGAAACAGCTCTATGTGGTATGAAGCTTTTGTATGCCACGAGTGGCTTGTTCGTTAGTGCCGTCTATCTATTTTGAGGCCTTATTCAAATTAGTGTCTTAACCTAGATGCAAGGCAGAGATTTGTAGAATTTACAAACTATGTCTTTATTACTGCTGTCATCAATTCTATGATTTTAGGTTAAAAGAATTTCAGTTATTGCTGCGAAGTTGCATAACTTGATGCCTCTAGATTGAATATTGTGTCCTGTGCCAAAATTGCCAAATTTTTTTTTTGTGATTTCTCTCCCAGTTGATCATTTTCAAGATGGAAATTAAACATAAGATTTGAACAAGTTTGTACAGGTTTTAATATGTCCTTGAGACTCTAGCAGAAGTTGTTCAAGGGTGACTTGCAGTATGTAGGTCTTAGTGACAATTGACAATCTTTTTCACTTGCAATATTTTCATTTTATATTCCTTAAACAAAAATCTGTTTTTTCCACCTGAGAACCCATTTTATCCTAGCATGTTTTTTTATATGCAAAAGCAATACATAAAACATGTACTGAATTCAGAGCAATTTGCCCAAACAGACTTTGTACTGAGCACCTGCCTTTCTTGTACATAAGTTATGTGCAGTGATGGTGCTTTTTTTTGTATGTGACACTAATGGCTACCTGGTAGTGTTTCCTGACCAAAAAAAAAGGTATTATAGGGTTTAGGAGGAGAAAAACTCAAACTAAAATAGAACTGGAGGAAGTGATGCAGGGTGGCCAACATGACCTAGAATACTGGCAGCAAGTTGTAGGAAGAAAGCAGGGCTAGAAGACACTCGGATATAGCTGAAAATTTAAGCAAAGAAGGCTAATTTGCATATCATAGTTTATTTTGTAACCTGATATTAACCTGTGACTTGCATGCTAATGACTTGTTTAACTTAAGCCTAACCATCAGAAATGCTTCAAGTACTGACTGGAAAGCATCAATAAGATGCTGAATTCTTCAGTACCCTTAATAGTCTAATCTAGTAGATAACCTGTTTCAATGGATTGGGCTGTCATTTGCTGGTGTATTTTTCTGCTAACTCCCAGCTGTCAGATTTTGCTTTGTATCTGTTGGAAGCCTTGGCTACTGTGTAATTTTCCTCACTGATGTGTTTACATTCAGAAATGGGTCACTTTTTAGTCTTCCTCTTATTAAAGTCAACAGATAGATAGAATATATTTTAATGGATGACTCTGGAATAGCTCTAGTGACTGTGTATTCGCTCACTTTTTCCAGTAGTCTTTTAAAGGTACTAACACACTACAGTCAAATGTTTTTATTTCCAGCATGCTGTCATCAGTACCTCAGAGGGAAAATGCTTTCAGAATTTCTCTTCATGAGACTTCAGTTAATTATCTTGAATCCACCAAAAAGCACAACTATATAAAAAAAACCTCATCATTTTCTACCTGTGCATGGATTCTGTTTTATATAACTTCTTTCCTGTAATGTGAGGGATTTTGTCCTTAAAACTTTGTTTAATGAGAAGACAAAAAGGGAGCCTGGCCAATAATCTTGAATTACACGGGAGAGCTTTTGGAGGAAGGGACAGAGGTAAAGAAACAAAACAGGACTCTAGATTGGTGGGAACTCTTTAATTCTTGACTCTGGAAGCTGAACGGTTAGCCATAACTAACGGTTTCATTTCAACTTTCTACAGACCTTGAAGCCTCTTATCTAGACTCTGTTATTTATCTTAGGCAAATAAGAAAGACCGGTTCCAGCAGGTACAGTCTATGATGTGTGACTTAATGGAATGGCGATCGCAACTTCTATCTGGGACTCTGCCAAAAGATGAACTGAAAGAACTCAAGCAGAAAGTCACTTCCAGAATTGACTATGGTAACAAGTAAGTGGACTATCCTGCTCCTGGAAAACATGGTTTGAAAGCATCCAGAAATAGTAGAGAGAAATTCTTCCTGCTTGAAGTTTTTTACAACATGTAGGTAGGATGTAGGTGCACTAAACCCTTCCTTTCAAGGTTCTCCCTGTTATTCTTCTGGTAACAGAAGTTCCCATGTTGAGGTTTCTTATCCCAATTAACTTTTTCAAAACACTTTTAATTACAGAATAAAAACTTATCAGGTACCTTAAGTCAGGTGACTATCCTTAATATACATGTAAGATCAGTGTACTCAGGACCAGAGCTTTTTACTCATCCTACAAAAATGCCACTTACCTTTTAGGAGAGTTAAGCTGTGGGTGTGGTTGTTCAGACTTTAGCAGTGGATGAATAGCAGAAGTCTGAGGTGTACAAAGCCTATCTTGAAGGCAAAATCCCCTCACTAACATGGGAATTTCCAGGCAGAATTCTGGTTCTGGTAATAGAAGTGAAACTACTGTAGGTAGAATAGCAGCTTGACAAAAGTCTTGTCTGTCTGTTGCTGATGAAATGTCACTGCAGCACAAGCAAAAAAGGAGTCATGTGGGATTATGGAAGGTATTCCACTGTTTGGTAGAGGGGAGAATAAGTAAGTCAGTCAGTCCTCATGATAGTGATATTAGGAGGCAATCTGCTTATAAATGGCTTTGAGCTATTACAAATGATGTGGCTGTTGTGGCTTGAAGACCCGTATCTGGTTGCAAGTCTCAAGCTGCCTGTGGCTAAACGTAAGCAATGACCATGAGTTGTTAGGAAGCTCTGCTTGTTCACTGTGGTTTGGACCCACAGATTTCTGAGTTCTAGTTACAGAATATACTCTGGGAATGTAAATCAAACAGTATGTCAAACACATGTGCCTAACACAGGTTTACATGTAAAAAACAAAACAAAAAACAGAAGACATGAGGACTCACTGAAGCAAAATGTGAATTGGAACACAGAGAATGTATTATTTGCTACGTGCTTGAGTGCTTTAGTGACAGCTTCCAACCCGATGCTCCAAAATCAACACATGCGGATCAAGAGCTTGAAAAAAGTTAGTTTCTGATTAACACTTCTTCAATGAAATAACACTACATGTATTTAAACTGATTTTATCACGTTAAAGCCTGAAGCACTGTTACATCTGTGAATATGCTCCAGCTTTATTTTTATAGAAGAAAAATAACCCTGCCATATTGTGTATGATTTTAATTTTTTTAATTTTCACAGGATACTTGAGCTAGACTTAATAGTTAGAGATGAAGATGGGAATATCTTGGATCCAGATAAAACCAGTGTCATCAGCCTATTTCATGCACATGAAGAAGCAACTAATAAAATCACTGAGAGGATTAAGGAGGAAATGGTAGGAATGATGAACAAAACTTAACACTTTAATGAAACCAAAAAAGGAGCTGGAGGGGGAAAGATGGCAAGCTTGAAAGATGGAACTTTATAGCATTAACCTTGTTAGATTTTTTTCCTGACTTTAACTTCACATTGCTGAGTTACAGCTATGGAGATTTTCATCTGTTAACTCCTAGCTTGTCTAGCCGGTGGTTTTGTAAAAATGTGTTTGAACAACTTGTCCTCAAAACTTGTGCCTCGGAGTTACACAGCTGCTTTTTTGAATGTGCTAATTCAAGGAGGAGGAATGGAGGATGCCCATGACTAGGACTGGATTCAGTCTATGGGGTATGCTAAAAGCCTGTTTCTAAAACTCTCTAAATCCATTCTTGGATATCTGAACGGAAGCAGGTATTAAGTAGTAGACTGTTTAAGAATGTGAATCACATAGTGATTATATACTTCGAGCTCAGGCTGCAAGCCTTGACTAACCCAAGCTCCTTTTTAAAGAATCCTTTGGCAGCATTGGTTGTTTACTATATGTTGCTGCTTGTTAGATATACCCTGACAGAAGTGAAGTCAAGTTTGCTAAAGCAGGAAGGTGGTGAACTTAGAATAACCCTGTGAACACCTACAATTATCCTGCCTATCACAGCTGATGAGTGCCAAAGCTTCCTGTTTTAAAATGCAAAGCAGGTGATGACACTTCCTTGACTTTTTCAATAATAATTTTATTCAGGAACATGTTGACTTGGGTTCCTTATATTCAATTGTGAGAAAGTAAACAGTGCTGAATGAAGAAAAATTTGAAGAGAAGTTGAAGTTGCGCCATCATGACAGTTTAATAGTGCCTATTAGAAATCTGTGGAAAATAGAGCATTCTCTTGGGAGGAAAGGTGTCACTGAATAACTTTTGCTTCCCAGATACCAAAACACAATTAGCTGATAATATAAGTATGTAAAGTTTAAACCTGGTGCTTGGCAGAGGAATAGATTGGCTTCTTTTAAAAGAAAGAGCAAATTAATGGATAAAAAGAGCTTTAGACCTGAACCCATAAGTCCTAGGGGTTAAAATGAAGTTATGGTTAGAATTGACGTGCACGAGATGGTGATCCTGGTCAGACCTCAGCATGTGCTCCTTATATGTTATTAGTTCCCTCTTCAGGAGGGAAATAATATGATGTTTCCAGAATTGCTCTCGCCTTCAGAGCTGAGCATTGAGGTTTGTCTGAAGCATCCTAAATCAAAGCCTGTTCTAGTGCATGCAGTAAACCTGCTACACAACTGTGTTCCAAAGTCATCTCTTGCACACTTCTAGGATGGCCTCTGTAGAGAAAGCTTGGTATTTTTATTTCTCTTCTGCTATTTTAAAGAAAGAAGTTTTAATAGTCTTTCACCCTTTATATAATTGCTTGGTCACTAAGGATGTGGAAGTCAAATTACAATCTCTTCCCTCAAAGGGATTTTAAACAAAAATATCCTGGAAACTTTCAGGCATGGAACTTTATGGAAATTTTAAGGAATGACTTCAGGATCTTTTCATTGAAAGCATCTTGCTTTACTTGAGAGGTAAGGCTTTGATTGCATTCATACACAGGAGGGGAACTTAATCTGTTATCTCCTGAGTGAAAGTAAATAGAAGACTTCCAAAATGAAAGGGCTTCTGCAGGCTAGGGGAGGAGAGAAGAGGCCTAACTATTGCATCCTTTGGAAATATATGTAAAATAATAAACACAAAATTCCTCTTTCTTTTTAGAAGAATTGCAGAAATACCTACTTAAAAAGGGTAATAAACTTTGAATTCCAGACACGGAGTTCTTACTGGTAGTATCAATTAAGTCCCTTAAATCTCACAAAACAGTGGCTTTAATGCATGTTTATCATCAAATTTTTCATTACGTGCATGTTTAGGTAGCTCTGGGTACAGCATTGCAAAGAACGCTCTCTGTTACACATCTCCTACAGCGTGAGGGCTCTGGTTGCAGTTTAGAGGAAGGTGGGATCCCGCAAACCAATGTCACCTCTGCAGCTTCTAACTGTGTCTTGCTTCACAAATTTGGCGGTTTTCCAGATTAAGTGCTCTATATAGGCAAGCTTGAAATCGTTAGCTAATAACTTGCTTCCTTCTGAACAGTCAAAGGATCAACCAGATTATGCATCGTACTCGCGAATGTCTTCATCCCCCACCCACAGTCTGTACGTCTTCGTGCGGAATTTTGTTTGCCGAATTGGGGAGGATGCAGAGCTCTTTATGTCACTATATGACCCACAGAAACTAACAATTATAAGGTAAGTTTATTTTCTCTGTTCCCCCAAATAATAATGAAGGAAGCTAGACAAAACAGAGTGTAAGAGTTGCCAACATATTACTAATGCAAGGTACATATAAATAAAAGGAAGAAAACCCAAGGGAAAAGTAGGTAAAGGCTGTATCTCCAAAAGGGTTGTAGGGCATGTGATCCCAGATCTTTTGACAGATAATTGCTGGACAGTGAGTATTTCAAAGTTTTAGAGAAGTTTGTCCTGGTCATCTGAATTTTCTGAGGTTGTCTCCACAAATGGAGATTCTTCTAGTGTGAGGATGTCTGCCTGTTTGCCAAAGCAGTTTTTTTTTTTTTTTTAATAAGGAACAACAGAGATTTCAAGTATTTGACAATCAATAGTTAAAACTAGCTTAACTGCTGTAAGTGCTCTACTTCTCTACCTAGGATCATTATGGAAGAGACTATACCTGTGGAAAAGCACATAAGAATTAATGTGTATATGTGTTATCTATTTATATAAAAGCACAGAGAAGAGACAGAATAAAAAAAAAGGAAGTTCAGAAAGCAGCAAAAATAACCTCTTTATAGCATCTAGATCAAGGAGGCTTCATATTCAATGTCAGTTGCACAGTCAGTTTTTAAGTAAACAAATAAAAAGAACTTGTGTTCTGGGCAGTTTAATAAAGCTAATAAAACTTGTAAATTTTTAACTGGTACCTTTCAATGAGAAGAACTCCTGCTCAGAATAATATGCTAAACATAGTTTTTTGTTTCTTTTTGTCGTTACTTTTGTTTAGCAAGAGGATAATTCCATTAGGCTTGTGCTCCTTACCCTGAGAGTGCAGTATTGTTATTCCTATCAGGAAACAGAATTTTTAAGTAAGATATAGAGTAAGGGAGGGATAAGATGGGAGAGACTTGTGAATTCAGAGACAGAAAAGAATCTTTTTGACTGTTGCTATTCAACAAACTACATGGATGTTGATGTTTCCTCCAAAACAGATAGTATTCTGTATACTCTCTTGAAGTTACCTTTTGTAATTTGCTGATTACTGTATAGCTTTCTTAGTCTGACCTTCAAGCAGTACAGAATAGTGCCTGTTGCTCAACTTAAGTGTTATGTTTTTTAATACATTCTAAAAAAGGGATTTTAAAAATACATGTTAATAAATTGTTGTTGTTGTTATTGTTTTGTTTTTTACTCTTTGAAACTAGTGAGAACTATTTGGTGCGATGGGGGAGCAAAGGTTTTCCAAAGGAAATCGACATGCTCAACAATCTGAAAGTAGTATTCACAGTGAGTCCATGCTTTCTCCAGTTCTTGCTTTTTGTTTGCAAATCAGAGTCTCTCTTCTCTGTAGTTGCTACTGGAATCCATACAATTTGAGTAAGATGAGGAAGGAAGCAGGAGACATCTTGGGAACAGGGCAAGATCACCAGAGTCATCACTTCATGCCAGTGATAATGAATATTTCAAAATCTTCCCTCAAATCAATTTCTGGAGCTTTTAATGCCTTCCTCATTGTGTGATCCTTATCTGCTGTAGCTCTGGATTGATGCCTTTCTCTATTTATTCCTTTGTTTTCTTCTAATATTCAAGTGTCACATTTCCTTACACTATGTTAAAATACTGTTTTCATCCTTACTTTGGTCCCAGCTTCCTTTTTTTATTAAAGCTCAAATTATTACTAGAGGTCCTGTTCAAATTTTACAATTTAAAATTCTTCTCCAAAGAATATTCTAGTTTTCCTTCTTGTTTGTTTCTTAGGATCTTGGAAATAAAGACCTTAGCAGAGATAAAGTTTATTTAGTTTGCCAAATAGTCCGAGTTGGAAGGATGGATCTCAAAGACAGCAACTCCAAAAAATGCACGCAGGGACTGAGGCGGCCTTTTGGAGTAGCAGGTAACTGGTCCCACTGATGTGATACTTGAAGCAGGAATTCAGTGATGCTTGTCAGTCTTGGATGGTAGACTCGAAGATATGCCAGAATACGAATCAGCTGTAATAACCAACTTCCATTTGATTTTTGGAGTCCACAAAGCCTGTATCTACACTAATATTTCAGTTTAGCTTAGAAATGGGTTTTTGAAATGAATTTCCAGTAATGCACGCTTAGCACAAACCAAAACACAGCATCAGAGCGTAACAGGAATCGTGCACAACTTCTAATGGTGTGGGGAGACCAGGGCCCCCATGTGAGTGGGTGGTATTTCTCTTCTCCCCTCCCCAGTCCTGTATCAGCAACTGGCATTCCAGAACACAGCTTCTTTTCATGATAACGATCATCCATCCACTGAAGAGGAAATACTTTGCACTGATGACAGTAACTGACGCATTGCTGGCATTAGCACAATCTGCTACTCCAAACTCCTGAAAATATGTAGTTAACTTGAAGCAGAAGAATATATAATGCTCTGCATAATACATGAATAAGAGGAGAATTTTTTTCAATGCCATTATACTGTTTTCATAATGATTTTTGTACTTTTTTTAGTTATGGATATTACAGATATCATAAAAGGAAAATCTGAAAGTGATGAAGAAAAGCAGCATTTCATTCCCTTTCACCCGTAAGTTGGTCACAAATATCTTAATTTCATACTTGCACAAAGTTATATCTATATGAAGAAAAATCTCTGTTAGTGCAAAGGTCTGGCCCCAAATGCTTGCAGTGTGGATTTCACCTCCTTGGCACCAGTGGTTTCATGCCACAGAGCTGCTCCTGTAGCAGCACACCTCTTGCTGATGCAAGTAATGGCTTGTTGAATTTGATATTCTTAAAAGTTCTTGCTACTACTTAGGATCACTGATTCTCAGGCATTTCAAAACTTCTTTCACCAGATTTTTGATGAGAAGATAATGGATGTCTCTGGAGTTCTTATGTTTCATGTTGTTTTCTACCACCCATAGGCTTCACCCATAAATGTGAAGCCTAAATCACTCAACTGTGGCAAAAAGGATTTCTCTTTGTAACAGAAAGTACATGGGTTTATTTAATTTCCTGATATATATGGCTACCTAATAATTTTAGCCCTGATTAAGTAGATAAACTCAGCCATGAGAATTATATTCTAAAGGCTGCATCTGAAGGCATTTTCAGGCATGCAGATAAAAATTATATTTTAAGGGTTTTTTAAAGTGCCTGGTGATGGCATGTATTATAAAATCAAGTGTTGCAAAGAACAAAAGCTGTCGTGTGTGTTTTGAATGGTATTTGATATACTTACCACTTAAGTTCTAGCAGACATTTTCTTTTTCTCTCCTAGGGTAGTAGCAGAGAATGACTTTTTACACAGTCTGCTAAGCAAAGTCACAGCATCAAAAGGAGACAGTGGTGGACAAGGTAAAACAGACTATTTTTGTAAAGTACAGTAACAAGGTATTTTAGTGGAACTTCATTTCACATTGTTTACATTTTAGAGTACAGCTTTTAAACATAGCATCACCATGGAGATAGGTGATTCATGCAGCTGCAAGTGATAAATCTTGAGGGTATGGGAGAATGTGAGAGGTTATTTGAATTACTAGCTATAGTTTTGGATCATATACCAACTTTTTCCTAGTTAAGGGAGGTAAATTCTTCTCACAGTTCTGGTGGAGGGAAAAGAGCAATGATAATCATATGAAGAGAGGTTTTTATCTTTAACATAAATGTGTTATATTTTTCCCCTAGGTCTTTGGGTAACTGTGAAAATGCTTGTTGGCAATGTGACTCAAACTAGGAAGGACTATCCACACCTTGTAGACAGAACCACAGCTGTTGCTAGAAAGCTGGGATTCCCTGAAATAATCATGCCAGGTAAGATGTGATTTTTTTTTTAATATTATTTTTTATATTTCCCCCATCATAGCACTAGATTTTTTGTCATTCTTTGGGTTAATGAGGATCAACTACAAGCTTAATTAGTTATTTCTGTTATGCGTACCTCAGAGGTTGTTCACTCTTCATGACCTTCTGGTGTTAGAGATACACAGAACAGGGAAATACTTGGAAGGTATTATGTAGTACTTAAATAGTATTTAAATGGGACAGGCGGAAGAGTGAGAGTTGGGGAACAGGGAGGGATAATCCAAGAACTCTGCACGTAGCATTTTTTCTACTATTAAAATTCTAGTCACTTGTTCCTTGAATCTTAAATTAACCTTATTTTTATCATAAATTATTACTTTCCTTAAATATTCAACATCAATGTGAGTTTACAGTCTCCTTTTGGAATTATAAAATTCTTGCCAATTGAAGTCCATTTATGGTCTGCAGTTCTCTAAAGTATCAGGATTTGAATTAAATTTTTTTTTCTTTGATGTCATAAATTCTTCACAAGAGAGAATTAGGTGTATTTGGATAAAACTCAGTTAAGGTGAGGCAGCCTGCTGTCGCCTCACCAGCAGGTGTCAGTGCAGGACGAGCTTTAATCGTGTTAAGGACATTCGGTTGCTTTCAATTCACACAGTACTCTTAGAATAGTCCAGCTGGAAATCTAAGTTCAGACCAGCAGGTGTCAGTGCAGGACGAGCTTTCGTCGTGTTCAGGACATTCGGTTGCTTTCAATTCACAGAGTACTCTTAGAATAGTACAGCTGGAAATCTAAGTTCAGATGGAAAATATGACCGTTTACTTTTAATGTGTTTCACTGCAGAAAAACAGGTGCTCTTGTGAAGTTCAACTAACCCTGTCCTTTGTGTTCTCACTTTTTTTTTTTTTTTAACCTTTTCATTTCTCTTGCAGGAGATATAAGAAATGACATTTATATTACATTGATCTCTGGAGATTTCGATAAATACAATAAAACAACTCAGAGAAATGTGGAAGTGATAATGTGCGTTTGTGATGAAGAAGGAAAAGTGATATCAGTAAGTTTTGTTTTATTTTCTAAATGATATGCATATAAACCTAAAATATATTTTAAAAGCAAGCCTTAAACTTGCTGTACATGTTCACACAATGCCACTGGATGTTAACTCAGTCTTCACTTGCATTCCCTTTTTACTGATGCTTTCTATGATGTTTGAAGTGACATATCTATTCAAGTCCTACATGTGTCTTCAACAGAAAACATACAACAGATGGAGTGGAGAATTAACACTGAATGACCTATTTTAGCTTTGACTAATGAACAAACAGATGAAATGCTGCTTCTGACAATTGCTACAGTTATAGTCCAAGTTTTTTCTCATGGAAATTCCTGTAGGAATGCTAGCAAAGGATTAAAATGTTAGAAATACCATCACCCTTATGCAACTAACTGCTGATCTGGACCATTTTATCCCTTGAATGAAAGAACTGCGTGGTAAATTGCTAAGCTAGTGGCAATAGAATAATGTGGACATTGCACATATGCAACATAAATATTTACAGTGCTTTTGTGTATGTCTTTTTCTGTTTTGAGGAGCCTTTGTTTCTTCCCTAAGGCTTTTTAACACCTGCCCAGTGCTCAGGGGGATTTTTAGTCTTTCCTTCTTGAGCTGGTTTCTGAAGCGATGAGGGTGAAATCATAACGGCACTTGTGATAAAATAAACATGCAGAAACCCATAATGGTTAGTGACATGCTGAAATGACCGTGTGTTTATGAAATTACAGTTAAATGCTTGACCTGAAATGTAGTTTCCAAGTTTGAATGGAGAAAATGCTGAACTCACAGAATGTATATAATCCATGCAACAAATTGCAACCCTAATGGTGACATTTTTACTTACCGCTATGAAAACAGCTGCCCACAAAAGTTGCACGTACAAGTCATAAGAGAGCTCCTCAGCTGTAAAACAGACTTCAGTTACAGACTGTATTTCACAGTTGTCGCAGTTAAGATACTTGAAATATATCTGCCCAAACACTCAAATTAACATATCATATTGCCTTCAAATGTCACTTCTTTATAAATCTTTCATTCCAATACTATGTCTAGTTTTACAAATGCATCCATTCTCCAAATATTAGGAAAAAAGATTTGTCCCCTTGAAATACATGTTCACATGCACTTTCTCTACTAAAGTACATTTAAATACATTTTAGCAACAGTTTTGACAAAATGTAAATGCTGCCGGATGCTGATAGTGAAGAGCTTTTCCCCATTAACTCACAGAAAATCAATACACTTCCAAACGCATAAACTGTTATCAAGTTATGTGCTTCTGCGTATTGCCTTAGCTATGATCCCAATACATTTGTGAAACTTATTTGTGTTCATTAGAGGGGAATTGATTGGCTCTACATGTCTCTGAACCCATTTCAACCTACTTTATGGGTGCCTGAGGCTCAGGAGGGCTCCCTGGGTAGACAGGGAGGGAGCCAGGCCTCTCCGGAGCAGGCAGCAGCCACTGATTTCTGCTCAGGTATCAAGTGCTTGGTTAGCCAGGGAGGCTTCCTGCTGCTTCAGCCAGACTTCCTCCACGTTTCACAGCTCCATCGTTGCAATATGCTGCATAACAAATGTAGTTTAGCTTCACCTGCGCCTGCCATGGAGGATTTAGTGTCCTTGTTTCCTGTAGTGAAGCTGCCGGGCGAGGTGTCCTCACGGGCCCTTATGGTGCCACAGGGGCCACGGTCAGTCCAGCAGCTGAGGCGGCTCCGCTCCCTTCGCACACCAGCTAAGCCAATGGGGCTCCCTCGTACTTAAGTTTTGGCCAACTTGATCAAAACTGTAGTTAGCTCTGTCCTGTAGTTCAGATTCTCATTTGAACACAGCAGGTTGTCAAGGTGGAGTGTGAACAGGTGAGAAATGAATTGCTAAAATTGTTAGGGAAATAGGTAGAAGTGATAGGAAATTCAATATGAAGAAACAAATGCTTAAAATATTTGCTAAGTCACTGCAGTCACCATAGAATCACAGAATGCTTAAGGTTGGAAGGGACCTCTAGAGATCATCTAGTCCAACCCCCTGCACACGCAGGGTCACCTAGAGCACGTGGCACAGGGCTGCGTCCAAGCGGGTTTAGAAGATCTCCAGAGAAGGAGACTCCACAACCTCTCTGGGCAGCCTGTTCCAGGGCTCTGTCACCCTCACTGTTAAAAAAAAATTTCCTTAAGTTCCTGTGGAACTTTTGGTGCTTCAGTTTGTGGCCATTTCCTCTAGTTCTGTCAGTGGCCACCAGTGAAGAGAGGCCAGCACCGTCCTCTTCGCTCCCTCCCTTGAGGTACTTACATACACCATGACAAAGACTATCTAGAAATGCAGTAATAAAAGCTAGATAACAATCTCAATTTTGGTAAAAACTTGGAAAGGCCCAAGGAGTATTCATGTATATGTTCATTTGGCATTCTTCATAGTCTGCAGGCAAATAAGTCTGTTATTTCTTCTAGAACAGAGTCTTTCAAGAGAAACGGAAAATTCCTCAAACTAAGGTCAGAAATATCCTTCTATTTCTCAGGACCTCCAGCTGTAGAAAGCACTTAGATGCGTACATGACTTTTAGGTTACTAAAATAGTATGAGATGAATGCCACTTCAGAAGCTAGGAAGATGTGTTAGACATACTGTTGACTTTCCTACATCACTATTAACAGATGTGAATGCCTGTGGACTTCTCTGCACAGAGAATGTTTTGCATCGTATGTCAAGTGGGAATTACTGCTTGAATACTGGGAGGAGGAAGGCTATGGGTGACACAGGTCTGAACAGACAGGTATGCATGGGCAGCCTTTTGTGGATGAATGCTACAATATATATTATATATTTTTCTTTTTTGGTAGAATGCTGTTTGCTTGGGAGCGGGGGACAAGCCCGTGAGCGAGTATCGATCCGTTCTCTACTACCAGGTCAAGCAGCCCCGCTGGATGGAAACACTAAAGGTATCGCGCAGAGTTTGTGCTTGCCCCTTTCCGCTGCTTTGTCAGTGCCTCACTAAAAACAAACAAAAAAATCAAAAAACACCACAAGCTCATGCTGTGCAACTTTACAGTGGAAAAAAAATAAGCGCTGGGCCGGAATAGTGCTAGAAGCGAGGTGCCTTACTCATACATCAGTTACTAGGGATATGTGATTACCGAAGCTGAAAATTTGGCCTAGAAAATGATGATAAGATTTTGTGTAGCAAAACAAATAAGATCATATTAGATAACCTTGTGCCCTAACATGCCTCATCAGAAAAATAAGTATTGTATTTGTTCTGCAGCTGTAAAATAATGCTTCTATGAGCTTCAAGTCATGGAGAAAAAAAATCTGAAAAATAGAATTTTTAGTAATAACTGTCTTGAATTTCTTTAGGGAGACATGATTAGTTGCATAATCTATGTTTAATGTCAGTTTGGAAAATGCCCAGAAGCTGCTAAAAGAGGTTGTTACAAAGCATGCCCATGTCTGCTGGTAAGCACGACTGCTTGAAGGACATTATAGGAGATGATGCTGCTAGAATAAGCCTGCAATTACCCAGTGGTATTGCTGAGCTTGAGCCAGGAGCGGACAACGGAGGGTCGGGTCATTTGCAGCAGAAACCTGTATCTTCCTTTAAAAATGCTGACAGGCTAAGTGTTTTGCTTAACATGCTTGCTTCTTTTTACATTTTGACTACATTTCAAATTTATACCCAGAATCGTTAACAGCAGTTCCTTTTAAATAGTGTAGTTAATGTAAAGGAGTTACAATAAGAACTGTATCGGTGGGGTTAGGCGAGCAAATGCAAAGTGAGGTGATTCACAGGTGTTCAGAGTTTTAAAACTTGCTAATGTAAAAATCGGAGTTTTCACACGATCGAAGGGCTCTCTTCTTTGATTATCTGTTACAAGTGTGCTACTTTAAGAAAAAGCAGCCATGATTCTTTAGGATTCTGTTCAGGGTTTTGAAACTGAATTAATTTTGTCTTGAAAATAGTCTTAATTTATATTGCTAAATTTTCTTACCAATCCCGTAAGCAGATTAAAAAAAAAAAAAAGTCAAGTTATCTGTATAAAATGTGGAAGATTCATAATGCTGAAGAACTGCATAGTGCAGTTAACACAGTAAGGAGTGAGACTGTGACTGCAATAGGTTTATCTTCTAGTATGCAAGCACATCTGCCTTAACTTACCGGGCTCGGTGGTTCATTTCTTTGATGGTGCTAGACTTTTAAGCAAAGATTTATAGATAATTCTGTATCTTTCATCTCTTCCATTAAGGTAATTAGACTTTAAGTTTTATATGGTCTACGTGAATAACAAATACTTATTTGAAAAAAGAAGCTTAAAATCGAATGGATTAAGTCATCATTTAGTAACATAACTCTATTCCTTATTTTCTGATTTTACAAAAGGTAGCAGTCCCAATTGAAGACATGCAGAGAATACATTTACGTTTCATGTTCAGACACAGGTCATCTCAAGAGTGTAAGTAGGGAATTTTTGCTTAAGTAAATTCTAATTGATTGATACACAACTGGAAGTATTGTTTTGCTTTGCAGCTAAAGATAAAGGAGAAAAGAATTTTGCAATGGCTTACATAAGGTTAATGAAAGAAGATGGAACAACTCTGCAAGATGGCATCCATGATTTGCTAGTCCTAAAGGTATTGATTCAGTCAACTTTTCTGATAAACCCTTTTTTAGCACTATGTTAAGCAAGAGTGATGTTTAGCTGTATTGTTTACTTTTCTAGTGCTAGTTACATTTTAGTACTTTCTCAAAGACAAATCTTTCATTTGACAAAAACAACAGGTTTGATGTAGTTTCTCTCGTGATTGTTAAAAGTTACTCCGGATTTTAATCACAGATAGATGCATCTAAAAAATATTGAGGAAAGAATTGTACTTCCTGCTATTTTTAATGTAGTTAAAATGCTTTTGCTATTTTCTGATATAGAGGAAATCATGGCAAAACTCAGTATGTGTATGCAAGTGGTCATTCAGATGACAGAGAGGAAAAGTGAATAATCTAGGAATCTTGGATAATTTCTTGTTTGAGATTGCTTTTATAATATAATTGCATTAAAAAAAAACTCAGGAGTTACATTAATTGGATTTTGAAGAGCAAGGATATTATTCTTGATCAGCCTAGAGCAGAGATAGCATCTTTTACTTTGCAAATCAAAGTAGGGAGCAGATGTTCTGAAGCGCAAATGTTTTGTTTTTGTTGCTGTTTTTTTTTTTTCTTTCTTTCTTTCAAATCATGGCCAGTATCCTAGAACAATCACTTATTTTAGTTCTCAGTTTCTTAATAAACTGATTTCATGTCACATTAGTAGCAAGTGGAATGCATACAAGTAATTGAAACTGTTCACTTAGTTCAGCAGAGATTAATCAACCAGTGTATGGTTATTTTTTTTTTCTTTATAGATATTAAAACTGATAAATATTTATTCTAGAGGGGCACGCAATTATCATTTTGCATGGCTGGTTAGTGTTTGTTAGAAAAATCCATCAAATACATTGTTGTATCAACACTATATTTTTTGATTAAGCGAGAACATATAGGAAATAAATGCCAAACTGAGTTGACCTACTTTATCCTTGGGAGGAATGCACAGATTTTCTGACATATGTTTGTCTATTCCAGAACTAAATACAGCAATTGCAAGCTGTAAATGTTTTTAAACAGTTGTGCATCTGGCTCCTCAAAATAAGTCAATTAAACATTACAAGGTTTAAAATATTTGCATTATTTTCACTGCCTTCTGTCACTGGTTCTTTTTGATAGACTAGTTAGTTATACTGTCATTTTTTCTATGTTTTGCTTTTTACCTTTCTAGATATCTTTATAGTCATTCCTTTGGACCTTTCATCTTGTTTGATAGGAAATAGAAACTGGACCTGTACATTAATGGAAGCACATACAAACTAAGTGACTAGAAAACTATTCTAGATTATCTTTGTTTTCATAGTTCCTTGTTTAGGTCTACTTGTAGTTTTAAGAGTATCATGTTATGCTTTACTGAATCAGATCTGTCATAGCTCTAAGTGACTGACCTCATCAACACATTGGTATAATTTTCTGGACTATTTTTGACAAAAAATGTAAATTTTTTGCAAGCATTTTTTTTTTTTTGCTTGCTGAGTGTCTTGTATATCTGGTGATGTAAAATATGAAATAAATGGTGTGCTTCTCTTCAGGGTGATAGCAAAAAAATGGAAGATGCCAGTGCCTATTTGATGTTACCTTCTACACGCCAGCACACAGAAAGTAAAGGAGCAACTATAGGCAGGAACTCAAGCATTGTAGGGGGGCTTTCAGTAAGCTCACGAGATGCATTTTTTATTTCAACGCTCGTTTGTTCTACGAAGTTAACGCAAAATGGTACGTATTTTCTAACCAGGGGAAGTTTTAGAACAGTACTTTTGCACAAATCATAAATAAAATGTGAAACTTACATATGTGTATATCTGTTTTTTTGTTAGTGGGCCTACTGGGCCTTTTGAAGTGGCGTATGAAGCCAGAGCTGCTACAGGAAAACCTGGAAAAATTGAAGATTGTGGATGGAGAGGAGGTTGTGAAGGTAGATTTTTTTTTTTTTTTTTTTTTTTTTTTTGCTGTTGGGACTTTGTAGAGAGTGGGAAACAATTCAAAACGCTTTGTTTTTCTGAATGCTTTTATCAAGGTTTTGCTTATCCTTACACATTCCATAGTGCTTTATTCACAATGTGTGTGTGTGTATCTATGTATGGGTGTATTTATTTATATTTATGCAGACAACATAAAATAATGGTGGTAAAGCCAGACCAGTATGCGAGCTTAGTACTGATCGTGAAGTTGATGAAGTAGCAACCATTTGCTCTAGAATGTTCTCTGTTTTCCTTTTTTTGGTTAAACCTAGCTGACTGAGCTTCAGGAATAGTTTTCTCCGTTCTGTTTGTTTCTTTAGATTTTAGTTGTTTTGTGTTGTCAAGTAGACTGAATTTATGATGGGAGTACTTTGCTGGATTATCCTGTGAAGTAGGATGAACAAATAATTTGGAAGATGCTTTTCTAAGTAATACTTTGTGCTCCTGTTTAAGGTAGATTTATTTATGATGGAGTCTTTTGTTGTCATGTGCGAAATGAGGGAAAAAATAGGAAATGATACTTTCTGTTAGATTTAATCAGAGTTGATAAAGATATGTCCTTGTGTGTTTTTTTTTTTTTTTTTTTTTTTTAGTTATTTGTCACATCTCTGTTAATTTAATTTAGTATCATGGCCTTAAATGTTAGGTCTTTTGTTTACTTGGTGCTATAGTTAAGTAGTCTAATATTAGATACCTGCCATCTATCAACACTCATTTTGTTTTAGGAAATTATCCATAATAGCTTTGAAATAGGGGACATTGTGTTCCGTATTTTAAGGCATCAAACTTGCAATACTGTAGTCCAAGTGCCAGTATGCTTTCTAAGGGTTGTTGCTCTTACTTATCTTTTAAATTACTTACCTCCCTTGTTTTTCTCAAAGACTCATCTGATTGCTATTTTCGGATGACCTATTTTAGAGCTTACTAAGAAAAAAATATGTACAAGGAGGTATTCATAGGCAACTAGGTGATACTCTTTGCTTGATAGTTGGCTAGGTTTTTACAGACAAGAATTGATGAGAAAGGCATCCTTTACACTTCTTTGGCACTGCCTTAGTACAAGATACTGCTGTTCAGCAGAGGTAAAATTATATGGGCACCAATCTGTGGTAGAACACAGTGATCTGAGAACTGTGTTACACTGCTTCAGTATGGTCCCTGAAGACTCCTTCTGCTGAGGAAGCTGCTGTATCTTAAGTTTGATGCACATCATATCTGTGATTCCTCATTATTCTGATGTCAGTAGAATGCCGTATTTTTCCATCTCAAAATGGGAGACCAAGAAATACATTTTAGAATGTGTAGAAACATCCCATCATCTACAAAAACAAAAAAACAAAGAGAAAAACTTGTCTGATCTGTTAATGATAGTTTGCAAAAGATGTGATCTGAGGTCGTCGTTTAGAGAAGGAGCAAGAAAGCAAGCATCTGGACATACTATTAACCTTTTAAAGAATTTTTTAATGGTATCTCCCAAACATGTCTGGAATTGGCTGCTGATGGACAGCCTGCTGAGGTTAGCTAGATAGCTGCCAGTTATCCCTGGTAAATAATTTTGGGGCTTCTTGTTACTCTTTGTAGTTTTATGATGTCAAAATTTTTGTGTAGTGAATGCAGAATTCAATCCCAAGAATATTAGTTGGAGACACCAATGCTTTGGCCAGATGCCCAACTGTATATCGTAGGTAAAATGAATTCTGAGTTTGTTATGCACAAACAGTTTTATTTAGAAAAAATAAAGATGGGATATGAGGGCAGTAATTATAAAACTTTGTCCACAGCGTTGCTTAAGATGTATTTGCTCTGCTCTTTGCTTTTTTCTGTCTGATATAAAGAATTCCTCCCATATTCATTATGCTTCTTAATACTATATAAATGTAGATTTAAAAAAGTTCAAAATGCATGATGTATCTAGTGGAATGCTATATTAACTTATTGTGTAAAGTATGTGTAAAAATTCATTAGTATTCTGAAGAGTGGCAGACTCCAGCCTTCACATTAGGAGTCCGTTATATTTGTGTTATTCTTTAAAAGTAGAGAGTAAGAAATCCCTCTCTTGAGAAAGAGGAAGAACTGACAAAAAGAAATTTTGAACCAAACAGTTTTAGTTGCCAAGTCACTGGGAACCCTGTCTTTGATTGTAAGTGGGCTTTACAGCAGGTTGCAGAAGTAGGAAGTGTGCTTTTAATTATCTCTTAAGGGTGAAAATAGCAACTGCTAATCTATATCATTAAGGAAGAAGAAATCCTGTTTTAGATAGTTATCTGCAATATTATATATTTTTAGAATAATTCCATAAGCTTTGAGCTAAGCATGTATTACTGGTTTCTTATGTGTCTGAGGATTTAGATTCTTAAATTAAAGAAATTAGAACCTAAATCCTCTGAGGTGTATTCTTAATTTAGGTGACTATTTAGGGTGTTAAGATTAAAGAAACTAGAGCCTAAAAGTATTGAAGTCCATTCTGAATTTAAGTGACATTTTGGTAAAAGCTTCTAAAATTCCAGCTCAAGGAGTGACTTTTTTTGCTGTCTGGGAACATTTGTGTGGCTTTCAATCTGATTTGATTGCTAATTTGTCATTTCATATTTCTGTTGTTATTGTATAGTTTCTCCAAGACACGCTGGATGCCCTGTTTAACATCATGATGGAACATTCCCATAGTAATGAGTATGACATCCTTGTCTTTGATGCACTGGTAAGAATTAGCACTGAAAGGTTTAGAATGTCTAAGTAAAGAAATGAATGCAGATGAGCCATCAGATTGTTTTGTAATAAAAGAACTAGTATTATAATCTCTGTAATAGGAATATTTGACTGAAAAAGCAAATTTTTCTTAAAACTCCAAAATGTTGGATTATCATAAATTTGTGAGGAGATGGATACTTTTGACCTTGTGATGAATGCTAATCGTGTGCATCTCTGTTTAGATATATATAATAGGGCTCATTGCGGATCGCAAGTTTCAACATTTCAACACCGTTTTGGAAGCGTATATCCAACAGCATTTTAGTGCAACTTTGGCATACAAGTAAGTTTGTGGAGTTTTTTTACTTTTTGTTTGTTTGATTTCCCCTTAAAATTCATCATTTCGTTACACAAGCAAGAAAATCCTGATCTGGTCTTGTTAATTAATGATGGCTTTTATTTTTGTAGTGTTGTTTGTTCATCTGGAAAGAGATGATTATGAGTAAAGTTAATTGGCAAAAGTAGTCATTTATGTGGAGTTAATAATCTTTGATAATCATTTTTTTATTTTCTGAATTACACTGTGTCTGAGAAATTCACTGTGAGAAGATACTTTGGTGTAAGGCCTTTTTCTTAACATTTCTGTTCTTAAATGGGGATCAGAAAGCCTAAATGGGGACTTGAATATCCTTAGCATATATCCTTTTACAGCAAACAAGTTCATGGCAAAAATCTGTTTGGGAACTGTCAGATCTTTCGCTATGCCAGCAGCGTACCAGCAGTCAGTACTGTGAACAGCTGGCTTCAGATTCACTATGTGGCCATGCCAGTTGGGAAGTAGAATCTGGGGAAGGTTTTGTTTTTTGGAGTTTCCAGATGTGCCCAAAGGGAAAGGAACTGCTGCATCAAGGAGAAAAAAAGCTAAACTTCTCGAAAGCAGGAAAGTGGAAGTGGAGCTGCTTTGAGTTTCTTACTTTTATGTTTATCAGATATGGATGTGATAATTTTTTTAGGAAGACTTGATATTAGGTATCAAGCAGAGAACTGGCCATCCTCACATTAGATGTTCTTCACCAATCCTTTGTACACAGTAGATTACCCGGTCAAACAACACAAGATTTTGTAGAGTTTGCATCACAAGGGATTTGAAAGGACAGTAAAGAGCTTGGGGTGTGAGGCATGACAGCTGATAGTGTATGGAAATGTTCTGCAAATTTAGCAGTAGATGGACTCAGGTTATTGCATAGTAGAGGGTAAGTAGGTTTTTTCTGTTGCTGGCAATGATGCATTGCTGATTATCCTTGCTTTCAGTGTAATGTGAAGAGATTTCTCATAGCCTGTATCTAAGAGTGAGTTCCATTGACAAGGCCAATTAAATCTGTCATTCATCTGAGCAAGGATGATTTGTTGGAAGTCATTCCTAATAGATGATTTGACTCTAGTAGGTGATACAGAATTCTGGCCAAACTGAGATCTTTATTCCATTTCTGTTCAGTCATCTATTTCCACCTATCTTTTATAGACTTCAAAAAGGGCTTAACATTCAGACCATTGATGTCCCTTGGGTGGATTGATGCTGCATAAAAATTAGCATGCGGCTTTTTTCCAGCTTCATATAAAGGGGCAATTTTGGAGGAGCAGTACCAAGGAGTAATCAGAAATGTTGAGGTGCTACAACATGTCAGAGATGCTGTAACATGGATGTAACCCTTAGGAGGAAGTGTGGCCATAAACCTGACATTTTGATCCAAAATTGGAGTTAGATTGATGAAGAGGATGTATCCCTCAGTTAACACAGCTGTGTATAACCTGCATAGTATTTAGAGTGATGGCTGTGTTAAGATAAAATTACATCATTAATATCTGTTTCATCATTTAAGATGGAAACTATAAGTATGTAAATGCAGGCACCTCTAGCCCACTTTGGAGCGTATTTTAGTCAAAAGTGACTTCTGTTTTCTCTTTTTCAGAAGAGCTCTTGCATTTATTATTGCGAGAAAGTTAGAGAAGGTTAGCAAAAGTTTTCTTCAGATACAAAGCAGGGAAGTATGTAAATAATGTACATAGCTTTGGCATACTGTAGTCTACCATGAGGTTGTCGTATTAGCATTCAGTTAATTCAGATCAAGCAGTAGTATTTAATCACTGGACTGCTGCTTCATGTACTCAAGGTGGTGGGCAAAAATACTGTTTTATATTATTTTGTACAGGTATGTTATAAACTTTTTAAGAGCAATGTTGACTATTACAAAAGCTTCTTGAAGGCTCTGAATCAACAGCTGAAAGAGCTTCCAAGATTGTGTGAATTACACTGCTATTTTGAGATATGAGATTGCATTGTTACTTGTACAGTAAAGAATTTTCTCTTTATCTGTGTTACACTGAGAGTTTGTTTAACAAACATAAAAATAAATGTAGCATGTTTTTCTCTTCTGCTTGACTAAGCATGAACATTTATTTAGTGTGACCAAACTAGTTAGAAAAATGAATTTAAGAATATCATTTGAAAAAAATTTTTTTTCTTCAGGAAATTAATGACAGTTCTGAAGACTTACTTGGATACTTCTAGCCGAGGAGAGCAGTGTGAACCAATTCTGAGAACTCTGAAAGCTTTGGAATATGTGTTTAAATTCATTGTTAGGTCAAGGAAATTATTTTCACAGTAAGTAGTCATTTGACTAGCAGTGCAATATCGGGAACAGCAGTAGACCTGTGGTATCAAAAAAAAAGAAAAATTCCCGAAATCTATTTTTCATTTTTACAAGTGTAACATAAAAATTATATCTAATGATCTTCTCTGGCCTAAAATCCAGATATTGCTGAGATAAGTTTTGGGGTGGGGGGGATCTGCTTTCTGATGCAGAATTTAAGTTATTAAGTCTGTTCGGTAATAGTGACCACTTTCAAAAGGTGGTTGTTACCTACATCAGCTGGTTTGACCCAAGATCAGTGAATGGCGTAATGTTGTGATGGATGACTTGAAGCTAAATGCGTGTCCAGCTTCTCAAGATTGTTGTATTAAATAGTTTAGGCTATGTCTGATACATATTTCTTTTGTACCTCTACTAGCTGAGATTTAGGTAAATAGTGGGAAACTCAGAGCAATGAATACAGCAAGTGATTGGCTTCTGTGTGTTTAATAGCCAACAGAATAGAAAATCTTTTGTTTTATCTGCCTTTTTGGTCAGTATGCACTGTAGTAGGGCTCTCTTTCTGCTCTTCTCATGTTTTATTGATTTCTTTCTTTCTCTGGCGAAGGACGTGTGGATAGGTCATGGAAAACTTGTTGCAAGAATGTTAAGACAGAAGGCAAAAATTGTTGCTTTGAAGACTTTTGTGTCCATTTTATCCTTAGCCTGACAGAAGATAGGGGGTACACTGGATGATCTGTGGTAAACTAAGCTATCGCAGTATACTTTGTAATAAAATGAATAGTTGTAGCAATGTTGAATGTTGTGCAAGCAGTAATTGTTCTTATAAATTTGTGGCCTCTGACCAAAACAAGCAGAGATTGAACATTTCTGTCCAATACTGGGTGCCGATTTCTTGCTCAACTGTGATGCTTTCTGATTCTGAAACTATAAAACAGTGCATCCTTAAACAGGTTATATGAAGGCAAAGAGCAAACCGAATTTGAGGAATCTATGAGGAGACTCTTTGAATCTATCAACAACCTGATGAAAAGTCAGCATAAAACAGCCATTTTGTTGCAGGTTGGTGTGATTGGCAACAACAATATGTTTTTTTTCTTTTGTGTTTTTGCCCTTTTTTTTTTTTTTTTTTGAGGAGAAGATGCTATAAAAACACAGTCTACTTGGAAAGCTTTTTCTTTAGTTGTTACCTAATCTTTGCTGCCTTCATGAATTATAGTTTCAGCTAAGATTGTTCCACAGTTACATAGAATTGATGCTAGGGTGAAACTTTGATGTAGGTGCAAATACATAAGGAAAGAAGACATTCTGATTTTCACTTGAAATAAGATGGGGAAAATATGTGAATGTCCTGTGTCAGTACATGACACACACTGAAACAGAAAGATGGGAGACAAGAAAAAAAGACACATGTCCTTCCCCAGATCTATATTGATTTGACCAGTTTCTCATTTTTGATAAATCATGTAGAATTTAATGAAAAATATTTGTGAATCCATGAAATGTATTTTAACTTAAATTTGTTACTGCTTTTGGTTAAGAAGTATGGCACATCCTTTTGGAGGTCTTGTTTTTGCCCTAAATACATTAAAGTATTTGAAAAATACATTCTTGGTAATAAAAGATATAATTACAGGCCATTTTATTGACATAAAAATCGTGGTAGGAAGTTCTTAATATACAAAAGGTAAGTGAAGAAAAATGTAGATAATGGCCCAGTGGGTGTTTATCATGTAGAACATTTCTTCATTTTACTGTAATGATTTTCATGGCTCGTTTCTGGGACGGCAGATACCACGGATATCTGAGAGTTCCTACTTTGATATATGCTTTACCCTTTTGTATGATAATCATGCTTACTGTATGCCATTTATGGAAGTCCTTCTTTGGTTTGCAAAGAGAATATGAACCACTTAGTCCTCTTGTATTTACATACCTCTGCATATCCTCAGCTTATGAGCTCTTCTATGAAGAGTACTCTATGGCAAAATTTATGTTAAAGTGCAGCCTTTGAGTCTGAGGGGAGAAGTCCAAATTACCACGATTTGGACTGCCATGGTTTGATTAGTATATGTTTCAACTGTTTGCTGTCTATATTATGCTGCATACAGAGGAAGACCTACAGTGTTAACACAGTCTCTGTTTCAATTCAGGTTGCTGCCTTGAAGTACATACCATCAGTTCTTCATGATGTTGAAACTGTCTTTGATGCCAAGCTACTGAGGTAAGCTGTATTAGAACATTTTGTAGATATATCAGATGGTGTTTCCAATGCCAAGGGAGCTCTAATCTTACTTGTGCAATGGTAGGGTTTAGTACTGAGACTAAGTCCTTTCACATTAACTCAGTGATTGGAATTAGCAAGTGAGCATTATATCTTTTTTTTTTTCTTTCTTCCCTTATATAGCACTATTCCAGGAAAGTAATTTCTTTAATGTTTTCAAATAAATATATTGATCCCCCACATACAAATATTTTTGTATTGCATGGAAGAAATGGAAAGCAATAAGCATAAGCAAACACAGCCAAAATCTCATTCACCCTCTTCTTGTTTCTGTTTGAAGATGTCTTTCAAACCTGCTGTTGATTTCTCCTCAACGTGACACATGAAATAAATATAAATCTTTAGTTCTTGAAGTATATTTTCTTTTGCTCTTGCTATCTTTATTATTAACATAAGATTAGTCTATCTTACTTGTGACATTTTGGCTTTTCCTTTATGTTCAGCCAACTGCTGTATGAATTTTACACTGGCATTCCACCTGTGAAACTGCAGAAGCAGAAGGTGCAGTCCATGAAGGAAATAGTACGCAGCAACCTTTTTAAAAAACAAGGTAACTATAAAATGTCTTTGGAATTTAAATTAAATAGGTATGAAAATGTTGACTAATGTTCGAAATGGAGTAGACCTAAGCTTGGCAGAGAGTGAATTTTGGAGGTCTAACTTCTGAAAAAGATTGCCCACTTTGTGAAAAATGACTAGTGTGCAAAAACATGATGAATCATCTAGAATCAAGAACAGCTGGGTCTTCGAAGAGCAGTTTTTTGTGTACTTCCTGTGAGACAGTATTTCAATAAATGTATCTATATGTGTCCTTTCAGTCCATTTAAAAGCTGCATAGTGAAGTAGGAACACAAAATGAAACCTTGTGAAGGCAGTTTGTGTTACAACATGAGCTCTGACCATGATTATGTTGTAATTTTTAATCCATTTGGCCTTGGGAGGCTGTTTATGGGTTTGAAATCGGTATGAAATGCTTGAAAATTAAGATATTTAAGAAATATTTTAAAGTAGTTAAAGTATGTATGAACATTGTCGCTTTTGACTTAGTACTGTTGAGAAGTCCAATTTGAGAACTCCTGATTAGGAGTTTGATTGTGCTGTAGCAGAGCACAATGAGGCAAGTTGCTCCAAGGAATATAAACCTAAGTAGGTCACACAGATGGTCACTGGCAGGGGTGGGAAGAATAGAGCTTTGGTCTCTTGGCTCTAAATTGAGGGCCTCTGCTCACTGTGGCTGCAGACCTATCTACTACAGCTCAGCATATGCAAACCACTTGCTGATTTCTGCAAGAACATATGCAAAAGGCATATGTTAACACTAGGGGTTAATTTGTCAGAGTGCCAGAAGAAACCATGAGACTGTAGTAGTTTCTTTTTTTATTCTTATTCTTTTCTGCTGCAAACCTCGTTCTACGACAGTATTGTTTAAATAGGATGTGTGCTAATATATACCTGTAATTGCACTAATATTGGTGTAAACAAATGCAAATTACATGTATGACAGTAGCTCAAGACAAAGGATATTTCTGCAAGTAAGTGAATGTGATAGCAATACAGTTTGCTGATTCTTTCATTTGAATGCTTGAACCCTCCTGAAACTTCTTATGTTGGTGATCTAGGAGAGCAAAGCTACTAAGCTTTTCTGTCTCAGAAAATGGGAAGATAATGACTTATACTTTAATGTCTTTTGAATCTTACTTTTTGAAGATTTGAAATTGTTACAACTGGGGCATGACACATCAGGAAATGCAGGTTCGTCTTGTAGAAACATGTGTGGTGCTGCATGTAAGTGAGAGCTGTTAGTTTCTCCTGTTTATGGAGAAGTATGTGCCACTAGGGTCTCTTCATTAGCCTTGACCCATTGTAGCAGTATTTTCATTATAATAAGAAAAAAATCCTTTCTCTATGGGAGAAAATTGTATCAAATTAGCATGAAAGTAAGATGCTAGTGATATTTTTATGGTAAATTTATTCTGAGTTCATATTCAGAAACTCATCAGTTTGCAGCTATCTAAATTAGAAAATAGAACAAATATGTCATAGAAGTTCATATAAAATTACTAAATTTAGAAAAATTCTGTGTATTTATTAAAATAAGTTAGAAATGTATTAGTTGGAAATCATCAATATTCTATGTCCAAATACAAGGCAGACTTTGAAATCTGCTAGAATATATTTGCTGCCTAGCACTCGTTGCAGACAGGTAGACTGTCTTGTCTGTGTATCATTTGAAGGGGTGGGAAAACGGACAGTAAGCTCAGGCTGTTGTTTTTGTGGCAGCCATGCTGTAGTGTTAGATCTTGCAGTGGCTGCCTTGGAATTCATGGTTTACTTGCTCCAGTGAGGAGAGGATAAACTTGAAGATGCCCCTTTTCGCTGGAAGGTAGAGGTCTCCGTTGTGGTGCCCCTCCTCGCGACGGAGCAAGATTCCAGGAGAGAGTCTGTTCCTCACCCATGATACTTTTCCTTCCTGCAGTTCCTATCTAACCTGAAGTTTGAATGTGGAGGTGCTAACTGAACTGCCTATGCTTTCTCTGTACCGCTGTTGTGTTCAGAAGAGTTAAGCAGTGAATAATGAGGAGGAAGACGACCTTTAATAGAAAGAAGCCTGCAGTTGTGAGCAGCTGTCCTCCTTTGTGAAGGAACAGGGAGCTCTAATTGTGCACTGACTGCCAGAAGGAGGCTCTCCTTGTTGAAAGGATGTTGTTCACTGATTTTATTTTTAAAGCTTTGCCCTAAATCTGTATTCGGATGACACCTATGTCCTTATTAAATTGGCATACCACAATTTAAGTGGGCATGTGGCCATCCTGACAGATGGATATGACTACAGGCATGCCAAGGAATCAAGAATAGTGTTTCCTAAGGGAGACAAGAGTGATGTTAAATCTTTATTACCATTTTGGCTGCACATATGAGGCATTTGAGAATGAAGCCTGCCTGAGACTTTTTTTTCCTTCCTGAAGGAGACCCTATTGTCTTTTCTAATTATATTTTTGCATTAAGGATTTATAGTGTTTGAGTTGCACTTACCTGGTTCAAAAGAAATCATTTGGTATCTTCTGGAATCTCTTACCTGAGGAAAATAGAGGAATTAGAAAATTGTGTGCAACCGTGTATTATCTTTTACCAGAATGTATCTACCTGTCTGAGTTCAGGAAGATACTGTCAGGAAGCTTCTCTGAGAGGCGTGTTGGATGTGGTGCTGATAAATTCATAAGGAAATATATGTTCCTTTGATATATGTTAGTGAAATAAATATGGGTTGATCAAGCTATGATGTTGATGTATTATCAGCCCCAAAACAGTCTAGGACAAGACATGCTTTTGGTTTCAGTGCATTTTTGGTTCTGGGAAAGGGAAGCATTTGAACAGTTATTTTATCATATATTTAAATATTAGGATAGAATGTGTATGGTCATGCTGGAAAACTTTCTTATTAACTTGCTCATTGAGCAAAAAACCAGGTGGTACTTGAGCTTGAATCTCCTACTCCCAGCTCCTTTCTCATGGATAAGAATGGGTGAGAACTACAGCTTCTTGTCTGTGGTTAAAGCATTTCTTTACCTGTATGTGCTTTTGCCAACTCCTTTATTTGATGTTGGGTTGTTGCTTTGAGTTCTTCCAAGGTGATTGTTATAAATCTAGTCTTTGTTGTAGCACTTGATTAGTGTTGTTTAATATGAAGGGACTATAGTCTGTTTAGTTAGATTACGCTGTGTAAGATACTGCTTAAATTACTCAGTGGCATGCATCGCTTAAATATTTTATATCTTTTATTCTTGGTTAATTAGTAGCTTCATTGATGTTATTTCAAATTTGGGCATCTTGTTCTCATGACATTTCTGTGAGAGCTTCTATCACGACATGTCAAGGTATGTGGAAGACGGAAACATAACCTGCTCTTTGTATCAGTTTCCCCACATTTAAATAAGGACAGATTTATGCATAGCTCCCATTTGCTGAAATGAGCTTGAAAACCTTTTAATTGTAGTCCTTTATTTGTGTGTATTTTTTAAAATGTTCTTAGTAGACAAGTTTCCCAGTGGTATGCATAGAACACTTCTATTGCTATTAGCAAATAATAACTAACCAAATATTGTGTTTTTCTTGTATTAAAATCCTGCTCCTCCTTAAGAACAACATATTTCCAGGTGCTTCATAGTTGAAGTTTCTAACCACTTGAGGCAAATTAAGCAGTCTTGAGAATTTGGCTGAGCGTTTTTAGATTGATTGGTGGAGGTTTTTTTGTGTGTTGTTTTTTTTTGTTGTTGTTGTTATTTTTGTTTCTAAATATGACAGATACTGTTGACATGCAGAAAATATCACACAGGTTTAAGAGAATCTATGAGGCATGGCTGAGAAATCAAAAATTTCACTGTAGTTGTTCAAGCATATTGTGTTCCACTGTTTGGAGGAGGGTTATTTGCATATTTGATTTATCTTTATTCTTCAAATGCTTTTCTGTATTATTAAAAAAAAACATTTTCCAACTTTCAGAATGCAGGGACATTCTGCTTCCTGTTATTACTAAAGAGCTGAAGGAGTTACTGGAACAAAGAGATGATCAGCAGCTCCAAGTCCAAGAGAAGAAGTACTGTGTTGAATTACTCAATAGCATCCTGGAAGTTCTGAGCTGTCAAGACCCTGTGAGTATTGATGATCATGTAAATGGCCCAAGTCTGTAGTAAGCCTGAGCTGATTAAATTGTAAATTATTGATACTGATGAATCACACTTAAATTTTTCATACAAGTCAGTGGCAAATTGAACTTTTCTCCTACTTTTCATAAGCTTAAATAGCAGTTAGGTATTAAAGATAAAATGCTGAAATTCCTAGTATTTTTTTTTTATTTCTCGGTTTAATACTTCTTAAACAGTCAGTTGCTATAAATGATTATAGTAGTATTACAGGCAGTGAAGCTGCATTGATTTATTCTATCAGAAGTTCTGGTACTTTTGCCTGTTAAAGATCAACAGAATAAATACTATTTTCTAAGTATTTGCAATAACTTTCAAGCTTAATGATGTTTCCTTTTTTTAAAAAAAATCTTCCCAATTCCTGAAAGAAATGTTTTCCAATGTGCAAATTTTGTAAATTATACTTTTTTGTTTTCAGCAATGCATGGGTTACCCGGATCACTCTCTTGTTTACTGTACCTCATTTTGAGAATGTTACTTCTTTCTCAAGCTCCCATAATTTGAGAATGCTGTAGAAATCGCAGTTTGGGTGACTTTTGTATTTGAGAGAATATAGAACTGACTTTTTAGTGGTTTTTAATGGCTTACAGATTATTCAGGGAAGCTTCAGTATCAAACGAGGATCTTATTCTGAAAAGACCTCAGAGTTAATTACAGTAGGAAAACTGTAATTCCCCCCATATTTAGTTGCTCAGTTATCTTGAAATATATTTTCTGATACATCTCTGCAAATGAAGCAGGCTTTGGATGAAGGAATGTTCTCATTTCAGCCTATTTTTCTTGAGCTTAGAACATTGTGTCATTTTCTAGTACTGGGGTCATTACCGAGTGTTGTTTGGTTTCATGTTTGAGAGTTTGAAACCACAAAGGCTTTTCTGCTTGCACAGGGCAAATCTTTTTTTTGCCTGTTTTATGAGCCATTTTCCTTATTGTTTTGAACATTAATACTTCAACCAAGATGAATATGAGGTGATAGTCAAGAGTTATTACAAGCTTGAATTTTGAATGGAATTTGTAAGAGAAATGGTGAAAGTATGATAGATTGGGCAAAGAGTGAGTTTAAGCATATGAGGTTGCATAGTATAACAATTATGTTACTGTATCCTTTAAAAGATGACAATACAGCTAAAAAGCAAGATAGGTTAATAGCTTGCGCATGTGTATTACATGTGTTGTTTATTTTCAAAATAGCAGTTGCCGTTTGTAGTGTAAGTGTTGGATATGATATAAAAGCATCGTCAGCTCTGACTGGGAGGTGCCGTTGAGGTGGATTTGCAGCTCCTGTTTGTATGAGAGAGCAATAATTGCCCTCTGTGTGGCAATATGAGCAAGTCAGACAGTTGTTGCTTGCTGTGCATGCATGTACGTGCAGTCTGAAGACGGTTTTGTTCTTTTTAACTTACATAATTTCCAAGAGCAGGAACTGGGATATCCAAATTGATGAGGAAAATCAATGTGTTGTTTTTCCTAGAAGAAACTGTCCTTTTATTCTAAAAATGTGTCTCTCTTGATATTTCGTTCTTCTTTTTATTCTTCAAATGTCTATTTTCTAAAGAAAAACAACCCTTTTCAACAGGTAGACTTGGATAGACAGGTAGACAGTAGGTAGACTTTTATTCTTTAATGTTAGTAAAATCTATAAAGCTTGAGGGATGGGTGATGATCTGAATCATTTCCTGTGACGTGCAATGGTGATTGAACAGAAGGTAGTATTTGTTTAAATAAATGAAGGTTTTTGTTTATTTGGTGTTTATTACTGCTGGTTTTGGATAGTTCTGAGCATGAGTTAATCTGTATATGCCTCAAGGATAGGAAAAAAAAGAAATCATTAGACATTTTAGGTTTCCATTGGAAACGTTTTAGTAGGAAAACTCACTGCTTACTGTGTTGTTGCTAAGAGCTTTTTAAAAAGGTGAGGTTGTTTTTCTCCTCCTTTTCCCCCCAGCAAGAAGTCAGTTCTTCCTTAATATGTGGCAAATGCTTAGCTGTATTTAGAATGAAATGCACTTTCATTATTACGGAGAATTATAGCTTTAATAATAGATTTCTTTTTTCTCTTTAAACCCATTCATAATATGATGCATATTTCTAAGCACAGTTGGAGACCAGAGGTTTTATGGGTGTTTATACTGTTCACAGGTATGGACTTAGTTTTTCTTTAAGTTATTAAAAAATTTACATCTAATTACTCTGATGGAATTATTTGTACAAAAAGATGTTGTATAAAAACCACATAATGTATCAGTCCATTAACCCCCACTGCAAGAGGTAATTATCAGAGAGATTTCAAGTACAGTAGAACATAAATATTCTGGTACAATAAACCTTTATGAAAGCTCAACAAAATCCAAGTAAAGGTGTCTAGCTATACATAAAAGCCTCATTTGCATAACTGAAAAGATTCAAAACCTGCATAGGAAAAGAAAACCCATTAAGTCTTCAAGTCTGATATAATTAATTGAATTTAGAAAGCGAACATTATCATTTTGGGTTCTGTGCCCAAGAGGGCTTCTCACTTGGGTTCTTGAGAAGTAGCCAACAAGCTTCTTTCATGATGATAAACAGGGGCTCTTTAGGCAGCATATTACCAGTGATGTCCTGGTAGAATTTAAAGCTAAATTTAAAACAAATACAGGAGCATTGCTTCAGTAGATTCAATAACCCTCCAACTGGAGGAGCTGTGAGATATTTGGGTGGCAGTTATCTACAAAGGTTGCAGTAAATACTAATATGTTTTTAATATATGGAGAAAAGGCCCTTGGAATAGATTTAAATCCAGTGGTAGTATCAGCATGTGGTAGCCCCTCTGGAGGCATTGTATTCCTGATTGTAGGAAATCTTGTAGAATAAAGGGGATATGAGCAAAAGAACCAGATGCTTCTGTTGGGGAAAACACATTTGCTGTCATGCCTTGTGGCAGTATAATTGCTAATCAGAGGCAGCAGGGGTTAGAATGTGTTTAGGTAAATGTCATTTAAGGCACAATGTCTTTTGTAACTTTACAAGAGAAAATGTTCAGCTATCACTAGCAGTTTCTTTTTCTTTGCTGGAGAATATGTAGGTCATGAGCTCATTTTTTTTCTTAAACTATGCTAGATTCCTGTTCTGCTTTAGCAGGGAAAATCCACTTTTAAGATGAGTTATCTGAAGGAAGGAAGAAAGACTAAAGGAAGGGTATTGCTTCTTCAGAACAGCTGTGTCTCTGGCAGCAGACAGCAATTTATCTTTTTTACCAAGGCAATGCAGACTCTCCCTCGAGTGCATTATGGATGTTTGCTCTCTAGCTAGTGTGGAAAAAAATCTTGTTCCAAGGATACACAGTTTTGACTTCTGTTGTGAAAACCTTTACAACCCTTACACTACCAAAAGAGAAAGACTCGCTATATGAACAGATCCTTATTACAGTATTATTAAGGTGGGATCCTTTAGAACATCTTCTCACTGTGATTATTATATATGCTTATCTTAGTGTATAACAGTGATGAATTTTTGCATTCAGTGTGCTCTGGATATAGAGGATTTTTTTTTGGTATTTAATCCATTATTCCTTTCTTTCATGAATTTAGTCAGGGCACCCACTTGTTCTTTTTAGGCCAGATTTTGAAGTACTTCTGCAGACAAAATTTTGAGTATGAGTACGGAATACTGGATTAAAAGAAAGGGAAAAGATGGTTCTGCTTTTGTGTGTACTTTCTTTTTTTTGTTGCATGTCACAGGTAGAACACAGGAAGAAAGTTAAAGTACTAGATGTGCAAGAGAGATACAGAAAGAAAAAAATACGGTTACTCTAAATGCCATTTTGTTTAGTAGTTATCAGAGACACTGTAGGTCGTATAGGTATTTTCTGTTTTCTAATACCGAGGAAATTGTGAAGCCAGAAACATTGTATTATTAACTGCTGGCAAATATTTCACATAAGTAGTAGCTGAGAGAATAAGAACAACTGCTCTCTGAAATTTCTGGCAACAACTTTAATTCCAAGATTACTTCTAAAGGTAGCCTGCCTTGTAGAAGAGCTGCCTATCTATCTGCTCTTGGCTTTCTTCTTCCGTTGGTTCGGAACATTTTTGTGGGATTTATCCACAGAATCCCTGTTAGAATTTTAAAATAGAACTCCCCTCAGTATATAAGAATAAAATCCTAAGAAATAATCTAACCCCTAGGTGTTGAGCTTTCTTTCTGAGCTCTGTATCTTATTTGGACATGTAAAGGCTGGCTTTTGGCCAACTTTTACATTCCAGGAGTTTCCAAAACTGATTATAGATCTCAACTCAGCTCTTTAACATGTATTCATGAGAATTTTTGCTGCTTTTGTTTAAAATCAGAGAAGGAATAATAATTAACCTTCTTTGTACAGTTGGCACATTTGCAGGTGAAAGTGATTGATTACAAATTTGCTTAAGTCTGAAAAATTTGGTTTGTGATTTTTCTAAGACAAAAAAACAATATTTTATTGTGCAAAAGTACAATTTTACCACAGCGGTTTTTCAAGTGATTTAAAAAATTAATTTATTTTGATAATCATTCAAATTGATTTAGAGAAGAGATTTCCTGTAGCTTTTTATTTTAAATTTCATATAGGTATTCCAATGCATTTCAAATACAAAGAGCATTTTCAGACCTTTAAGTTAGAGGCAGGGCTTTTTCTGTGCTGGGCTATGTTGCTTGCTCTTTTCCTGAGTTTGTCTAGCTATTGGAGTAAACGTAATGAAATTGGTAAACATAAGAGGATACAGTTCTACCCAGTGTAAAGAAAAGCAGTTATTTTATGCATGCAGCATGTCAAGTATATCTGTGATTTGATGTCACTTGGTTGTGTTTGCCGCTGAGCTGCAGAAGTCACTGAAAACTTGGTGTTGACACATCATGGGTCTCTGGTTACGACTCCACTGGCCAGATGGACTGGTACTTCTTTGGCAATCTGTCTTTGTTGCTGTGTCCTCACAGAGCAGCAAAGTGAAGCAAAGATGCCTTTCTCTTTTAATGATTAAGTATCTGGCAACTGCAAGCTAAGAATTTTATTGAGTTCCAGACTGTCTTGAGGAAGATGTGGAAATCTGTGATACAGTTCTACTCCGTTATCTATTTCCAGGGTGTTGATACTAAATTATAGCCTGTTCAATTAGTGGTAAAGCACGTGAGCCCCTCGAATGGGGAATAGGAAGCAGCTCTTTGAAACAAAGATCAACTGTGGAATAGATGGGATCAAATCAGGATTGTGCCAATTGAAATGAGTATTCCACTGCACCTGTCAGGGCTACCAAGCAGTGTGAACAAACAGGATAAGTTTCTTTTAGGAGTTTCTTTCAGTTTCTTTCATTCTTTCAGGAGGGTGCTGGCATTAAGCAACAGTAGCTGTCCTCATGGAAGTAATTGGATCCTTCTGTTTTTCAGGAGCTATGAAAATATGAAAACTGCTTTTTTTTTTGATTTACAGGCATCAACTTATGACCATATTCAAGAAATAATGGTACAGTTGTTACGCACAGTGAACAGAACTGTTATTGCAATGAGACGAGATGACCCCTTAATTGTGAGTAATATTTTTAATGCTTTGAAAGTAACTTCATAGTTACCTCTAAAAATGTGATTTTTCTTCCTTTCCAAGTGCTTTAGTTCTCAGAGTTAAGAGTTGCTATGGAGCATCTGCTATTCCCAGCTTTTGTTTCCATAGAAGGATGATGAACACTCTTTATTTACACAAGAAAAATGTCTTGAGGTGTTCTTGCTCAGATTACTAGCCTCGGCTTGTTGCAGAGTCCACAATTTGAGAGTTATTCTCAAGGACAGATCCTCTAACTTACTCAAATTTAAGCACTTCTCCTGACTTAGGCTATTTGTAAGAAAGTAAGCCAGCTGCTGACTCTACAGGCAGCAGGAGGTAAGGAGCTTGTCCTTCAGTTGTCCGTTTAAGAGATTGTTACATGAATTTTAAGTCTTACAGATGTTTTTGTTACTCTGCATAATCATGAGAAGCATTTACTTAATTGCTTCAGCCACAAAGTCCATGATATATTTTCTAAAATGTATTTTGTTACCATGTCATTTCTGTTGGAAAACTAAGGTAAGGTTTTTTTTTTTTTTCTTCAGTCTACTGTATAGCGTAGGATGTTTTAGCATCCTTACAATGAAGTTCTTCTAAAGGGATATGTGTCAATAGTTCCTTGATACTTTTTGAAACTTCCTGGTGGTGGATCTGCGAGCTTTAGTTATCACATCATTACATACTTATTAATATCTCTTCTCCTTCTGTCTCTGTGCAAACCTGTAATGTGTGTGTATGGTCATAATAACAAAAGGTTTTGAGTGAAAATGCAAAGAATCTTTCATTTCTTGAAAATGTTTCTGTATTTGAAAACAAAGCATCATGAGCTTTTTATGCAGGATAATCAATCCATCAATGAATGATTTCTGGGTACCATGAATAATAAATGAAGAGGTAAAATGAAACTAGTAATCATTCAAAAAAGGACCCTTAGAATCAGGAAGTGAAGGCTGGTTATACTCAGTTGAAATGGTTTGGGAAATCATTTTTTTTTTCTCATCTGCTCTAATGTTCTGCTATTCTTAAAAAGATCAAAGCCAGAGTTAATTTGGGAATCCAGATGTCTGAACACTAATAATGGTAATCTCTGTATACTGGACATGTCAGATGTATCAAATCCCACTAGACCTTTCTGGAACGGATACGAGTTATCTCAACAGAATGGCGCTTTACATTTGAAGTTGTTTGCAATGAAGAAAATTATTATGCACTCAGAAGGAATTTTGCATTCAGAAAGAATTTGCAAAATAAGCTAGTTTGATGTTCAGTGTACTATCTTTAGTTCAAACAGCTAATGTGCAGGTTACTTCAGGAACTGTTGAAAAGACCTGGCTCTTGGTTTGAGAACTGACGTCTTTAAAAATGAATCCTATGGAAATTGTGGCTCTACAGAATGCCTAGGTGAGCTAAGGCTGCTAAAAATGTGGAGACTGTGAACTGTGCACGGATGAGCAGAATGTATGGAATAGTTGTGACCAAATGATAGGTTTTGGTGTTGACTTTGGCTGACTTCGTTTCCCACTTGCTTTTGGAAAAAGGAAAAGTTGCTCTGCAGACTCTTCAGTCTGTTTCTATGCTTTTGAATATTGGAAGTAATTTAATCAAATTTTTAAGCATTTTTTTATAACCGAATTTCCAGTATTCAAAAAAAAGGAAGAAAAAAGCCTATTCTCTGTTAACCAAAGCAGCCAAGGTATACTTTCTCTTGGAAATACTTTATTACTATGCAACATAGATTTATAATAAGAATTAAAAATGTATAAATGCTAGATGGAATATTCTTGAAAAACAATACCTTTGGGGAAGTTAGGGACCAAAGCAACCATTTTGCAGGCTTTGCTTAGTTGGGAAATGTTGTAATCAAATGTTCACATGAACTAGGTAAAGCTAAAGTTTCAAAACAATGTTTTTGTTTGGTATTCCAGTCCAAGTTGACTTAAATCCAGTCACTACAGAATAAGATGCTGTAAAATTACCCTCTTTTCCAGAGAACAGTGTTTCACTCCTTGGTATTATTATTGAGTCTTGAAAGCTAAGAAAAATATCTCATTTTATTGCAAAAAATAACATCCCATTCAAAGAACCTAGAAATGTACAAAACGTACAATTGATTAATACATTTCCTTGGGGAGTTAGTTTGTGTTTAGGCTCGTGTAATTATCAAATATTATGGCTTTTTCAAAGAGTAACAGCTTATGAAAGTATGAAAACCTCTGCGTCAACTGATGTTACGTGATAGGGTGAAGTCAGTATTTTATTTGTACATTTCTTTTTAAAGAAAGTTAGATTAACTCTTTCCATAAAACAGCAGTTTCAAATGCAGTAATTGAATGTGCCATGTGCTGTACAAGTGTTTTACAAGTAGAATATTGTAATTTTCATTTAAATATATATTTTTAGAGAAACCTATTGTAATAAATATACAAGTATTAACAAGCAGGTTTGTTTCAAGAAGAGAGTGTTTGCATTTGTAACATTTAAATGTGGGAGCTATTGTGGGGCAGTACAGCATAATTATTTTTACAGTCTTTTTTTTTTTTTAACCAATACTATTATTTTCTAATAATAAATCTATTTCCCTTGCTTTTCTAATCCTGGCATCCTACACCTGCATTGCACTTTTCTCATACCAATAAATCCTTTTTGCTTTTCTGATCCTGACATCATACAGCTATGTTGTGTTCATCTCATACTGTTATTTTTTTCCTTTCCTATTTCAAGTATTAGCTATTAAAATTATAAGAAATAATTTCTAAATGATTAAAAATTAAAATAATAACACAAAAAACAGCCCTCCCACATTACATTTTCACTTAGATTCTTCAATGACATGGTTTTACCAAGGTATGTATTTTTCTGTATTTGAATTATGTTACCAGAATATACCAGACTTGCTTTTACCTGAAAGCTAGATTAAATTTGAAAATATTTATTGTAATTAGGGAAGTGTGGACTTTGTGGTTCAAATGAACCTTTTTTGGATGTGTGTTTTAGTAGCTGGCTCACATGCTGTTTGTGTTGCTACTACTGCCTCACTGATTCAGCACATTTCCTCTGCTATCCTGATAAAGAAGATAAGCATCTAGCTTTCTTTTGAAGGAATTTCCTTTACTTGACTGCAATCCTGGAGTACCTTAGGAACAACCTGCCAAAAGATAGTGCTTAGGAGATCTGCTTTGCTATTTGGTTTCCTCAAAGCCATGTGTCTTGAAGGAGATGAACTTGAAAACACAAGACATAGCTTAGGCTGAAAGAAACATCCGTGTTCCTCAGTGGCGGCACTGAGAGCAGAAAGCCGGTTACCTTAGGTTACTTACGTGTTTACTACTGCATATTGGGTATGCTTATAAAAAAGATGCCTTAAAATGAAATTTTAATGCTTATTATTAGAAGAAAATATTCCTTTTGTATAATAACCAATTGTTGACAAACATTTCAGTTCAGAAAAATCAATTCAGTACTGGCTTTGCTAGAATGATTCCTGTCTGTATTGCTTATTATTGTGTCAGATGCAGAGGATATTAATCTTTTTTAAAAAGTTATTTTAATAGAAAACAAGCACATACTGGTACATCTTTCAGTGTATCAATTATTGGTTCTAATGCAGAATAGGTAGGAATGCCATAGGCCTGGCAGCATAAACACTGCAGTATTTAAATGGGATCTAGTGATGGGATCTGATGCAGTGGCTTAATTCTGACCTTTGAAATGTCCTCAGGTTGTTACTGAAGAGCTTTGCTGGCTCACTAAAGGTATACTTTCTTGTCTTTTTCCTCAGAAAAGCCCCTAGAATAATGTGAATTTTTTGTCTGTGAATTGCATAGTAAATGTACTTACATATAAGTGTTCTGGTTGTTTTTAAAACTCAATCCATGAAAATATTGGGGAATTAAACAATGTTACCCAGCATATTTTTTTTCTAAATGAAGAAGAGTTTTCTTGCATGTTTAGGCCTCCTTTACATTGGTTCAAAACTGTCTTTTAATGTGTTTCTAAATATCTAATTAACCCTGCAAATCAGGAGAATGTAGTAGTGTACTAAAGTGCACCATTTTTAAATGTGCTACACCATTAATACCATATGAATTTAGAAAGAGGATCTAGAGGTTAAGCAGCTGATACGCTGACACCATTTGACCTCATTAACCAGAGTCAGTTTTAAGAATAGGTCTGCAGTATGTACCACGGAACCTAAAATAGCTTTTTTGGCCTTTACATTGTGCCTTTTAAGCCAACTCACTTTGCAATTTTTTCCTCGTTATTAATGGTAATCACTTCATCTTGAACAAAATTACTTAATTAGGCAGGAATTAGGTTTCATTAGACACTGTAATACCTAGTACAACTGATGCCACAAGGAACTTTCAAAGGTTAACAAAAAAGCTATCCTGACCTCTGAACTATAATTTGTTTTCACATAAAGTGAGCTCATTAAAAACTGATTCTTAGGACTAATTTTGTATCATTGTGGACCTATATTGGGCTATTTTCTTTCTCAAGGCTAAAAAATGGGCTTCGGATTTTTTTGGTATAGTGACACAGGTTTTAAATGCACTGTGATCCTGGGTGACCAAATTGGGCAAGTGGTTTAAGAGGACAGAAGTCAGCAAGTGGTTTGGGAAAGGTCTAAACTGAATATCTAATGGGAGGATAGAAATAAGGCAGAGCCAACTTCTTGAAGGTGCTCTGGGATCGGACAAGATGCAGTGGACACATTAGAACACTGGAAACTATGTTTCGTATTAGGAAAAACTTTTTAATTGTAAAATTGGAATACTTGTTATTGGAACAGTTTTTCAGAGGTTGTAAAGACTTTATATCCATATATATATATATATATATATTTATATATGTGTGTGTGTGAGAGTATATATATAAAATATATATATAATATATTCAAACCTCTACTGGAAACAGCTCTGAGCAGTGCTATCCACCTGCTTTAAGAAGGGGCTCAACTTCTCATATTTTATAATTCTGAGAGTTTT